GAGCTTGACATGCTCTTTTTTACACTTCAGTTAGTACCAACGGTTTCTAGTTACCAAAATTGTATTTAAAAGTCAGATCAAAAGGCACTAATAGTTATTTATGCATTTTGGCGTTAAGGTTTTGAAAATTAAAAATTGAGTGGTCGTGTCAACGGAACTTGTGGCACGCACTAACAATGAATATGGTGCATGTCTGCAAGTGGAGTACTTGGGTTTAACGTTATACACAAAGTACAATTTACCGCCCGGTCGTAGATAATCGATTCTGATTGTGTAATAGGCGTATGTAGATACACCCACAGACCCTAATAGATATTAGGGCTTGGACTTCCCATCGTTTGTTGTGAGATATAAACCTCATCTTTTGAATAGTACGCGCTACGTATATATGCGATTATGTTATATATTCGTTATATATGCCACTTAAATCTGCAATGATGCTCTAAAATTACCTTAAACGACTGCACATACGAGACCAGCTCTCAAATTCTGCTAATCAGTACATAGCAATTTCAGACCATTAACCACAAGTTGAAACCACACAACCTCAATAGTTTGTGTATTTTCAAGCGTATATTTACTTATAGCATAATAAATCTGCTACATTATTACATATAATCCAAGCTGTCGATATGGCAAATCTATTAGTACATATATTGCAATACTTTCCGCGAGCTCGTTGCATCTAGGCATGTAGTATTTGGTTGTTGGTAATCGGTAGGTACCGGTGAGAACAAGAATAGTACCCCTGGGAGTATTTGTCATTAATTTATTGATTATAATAGCTCAGGATGTATACTCTGATCCCTGAAAAACTAATTAACGTACTAGTGAAAATTTTCATAAAAAAACAATTTTTCACAGATTTTGTTTTGAGTTGAATAGCTTTAGATACGTACGTAAGAACTCTGCAGAATCACTTAATGCAATAGCGTAACAGCATAAGACTCAGACGCATACATATACCGTGCCCCTCTCGTATTCAGGGCGCGGGCTCCTATGAGGGCACGGCGTATCGCACGCAGTGTTGCCATACGTAGCGGAATTCCGCTATTTGTAGCGGATTATTTTGAGAAGAGCGGCGTATCGGCGGTAGAGCAAATTCGCCCAAAATGTAGCGGAATTTATTAGATACAAAACTATCATATTTATTTCACTGTTTTAACGTTAATAACGTTCTAAATCCTAAATAGGCAGTGGCTAGAGTCTGATTTATTATCACATTAATAATAAAATTGGTGCATTTGGTGCCGCTTGAGCCATCTAGGAACAGAGAAGAGAATTATTCCACTTGCCTTTTTTTTCTATAACAGATGGCGTACGTACTGCTTTCAATACTAATCGTTTCTAACAGGTCTCAGCAGGCAGACATAATATTAGGTTTCTCGCTTTGTATTATATTTTTCAGCTCTGGGTATATACTGTTTAGTTTGGTTTATATTAGTGTTCTTATTTTTGTGTTGATCATTTTATTGATATATCATTTGCTGCAGATTTTAATATTAAATCTACTGGTAAGTAACAAAACTGCTTAAATATCTAACATATAGTTTGATCCAGAAATAAATCTTAGTCGCGAAATTTGTTTTTAACGCTTTTTCTTCTGGAAAATATGAATAATGGAAAGGCGACAGCAGACCATTAACGATTTTTTTGATAAAAATCCTTCTAAAAAACAAACGGTGAAACCAAACGTGGCCGTACCATCCACTTCGACTGCATCTGTGTCGGACTCGGAGCATCCCGAACCTGAATACAGACAAAATAGAAGAGCGGAATCTAGTGGAATCAGGTCTGAGCTTGATAATTCGACTTGCGAATCTCAGGATAACCAAGAGCCAGAGCAACCTGTTAAGAAAACGACACGAAAACAAATGTTTACTTCATTATGGCTAGAAGATCCGTTATTTAAAGGCTGGTTGGGATCTATTGAAAATGACAAGTTAAAAGCAAAATGTAAAGCTTGTAATCAAATAATGGGTGCTAAAAAATCAGATTTAGTGAATCATTCGAAATCAAAAAGGCATGCCACTAATGTACAAGCAATTTCGAATGTAAGAACGTTAGATAGCACTTTTCAGTCTCGGGAAGCTCGTGAGTTGGAAAAACGGCAAATATTTGGTTGCATAAGATATAGTCTTTTAGTTTTAAGTCATTATATAAGTTTTAGAACTGTTGATCATATAACAGGAGTTAGTCACTTATGTTTTAAAGACCCAGATCTCTCTAGCTCACTTAAATTAAAAAGATCCAAATGCATAAGTATAATTAAAAATGTGCTGGTTCCTATTATTAAAGACGAAATAATTTCAGAATTGGAAAATAAACCATTTTCTACTTTATTGGATGAGAGTACAGACCTGAGCAATACAAGACTACTATGCATTCTTGTAAGGTATATTCATAAAAATTCAATTAAAACCCATTTATTAGATATAATTAAAATAAACGCAGATGAAGGTACCGCCAAAGGTTTATATTCTCTTTTTAAAAAATGCGTTATCAAGTAAAAATTCCAATATTGTTGAATACTGTTCCGACAACGCTAGTGTTATGATGGGCAATAACAAATCTTTCAAAACTTATCTTTTAAAAGATAATCCTAATATAATTGTCAATGACTGCATTTGCCACTCTGCTCATTTAGTGGCGGTGGCGGCAGCTGAAAAGATTCCAAGCAACGTTGAAACTCTTTTACAAAACTTATATTCTTACTTCTCAAGAAGCCCAAAAAAGGCAGTGTGTTCTTGAAGAATTACAGGAATATTTCAAAAAGTCAAAATTAAAAATTTTAAGCACTAGTAAAACAAGGTGGCTTGCTTTATCCAAATGTGCTGATAGAGTTTTGGATCAGTGGGATATCTTGCTTAGCCTATTTAGATTAGCTTCCATTGAAGACAAAAATCCTGTAGCAAATGTAATACTTAATGAGTTACAGAATCCATTTGTTAAGGCGTATTTAATGTTTTTTTAAATTCGTGTTGCCCATTTTTAATCAATTTAATGCTCTCTTTCAATCAGAGAAGGTTATGCTCAATATCATATCAATAGAGGGTGAGCGATTTGTACGTCATCTATGTACAAACTTTATGCGACCAGAATATTTTAAAAATGAGAAATTATATAATCTAAATCCTAATGATCCTCACTGCTTATTACCAATTGAACAAGTGAATGTTGGTCCGCATACAATGGATGCAATAAAACACTGCAATAACACGGCAATCGAACAATTTAAATTAAAATGTGTCACATTTTACCAAACATCGGTAGAAGAGTCCCTTAAAAGATTTCCTATCAAAGACGACTTCTTTTCAGAGCTAAAGTTTCTCTCACCGGTTGATGTGATGAACAATCGTCTTATTATAAGTGATACCTTTCATGACGCCGTTTTAAAAAAAATTGCCCTTCATATTGAAACCGAAAAGGCAATTTTGGAACTAAAGAAAATATGTATTTATTTTAGTGATAGTGAGAAAGAGGAAAATTTTAAAAACAAAAAGTAATGTCATTGAATTTTGGTCGTTTGTAAACGACCTCAAAAATTTTAATGACGAATATTTATTTCGCAATATAGGTAAACTGGCTCTAATCATTTTAACATTGCCTCATGGAAACGCTGATGTTGAGCGAACTTTTTCTTATATGCTTGATTACAAAACAAAAAAAAGAAATAAAATAATACCATCAACTTTGTCTGCACTACTTACAATTAAATTAGACTTGGAATAAAAAAAAACAGTGCTGTTTATCCTATAGTTTTAATGAGAATCATTTAAACAAATATAAAAAGAATTTATGTAATGTAAATAAGGAAGAACAAGCTGAAGAAGAAGTAATTTCTGATTCTGACTGTGAATAAAATAAGCAAACGTAGGCATTTCCACGTTTCCGCTTCTTCTTTGTCCTTATTTTTTGTTTTTTTTTTCTATTAAGATTAAGATATTGGTGATAGTTTCTATTTTTTTATTAGTTCCTAATTCTAAACCAAAGACAGTTTTGTTTTTTTAGAGGTATACTTTTTATGTTTTTACGAAAAATTGCAATTATATTATGTTACTGTTTGTATTTTTAGTAGGGTTTTTAGATAGTGTTTAAAAAAAAGTAAATATGTAAAAAATATATTTGTTGTTTATTTTAAGCCTCCCCCCCTTAAATTTTTAGACCGTAGCGGAATGTAGCGGAATTTTGCGATACGTGTGACGGATATTTTAAACTTCGCTCTGGCAACACTGATCGCACGCCGATAACATAGTATCGATTATTTATTCGGTCCGCTGTTTTCTAGCGGCGCGTACGATTGTGGAGCTAGCTTTTGGAGCTACATTCACATGCAGTTTATATTAATATAATCTTCACTGTGACATTAGTTTTTTTTTGTTTTGTTTCAGCAGCATCGACGACTGGGGTCATTAGCTGCAATTGATTGCACATTACTAAACATAATGATTTCGTCTGTCTGATCAACCAAACATGAATAGCTATTTTGTGCTTTTGGCTATTTATCAGCATGGTCTAGACTTGGTCAATCGTCTCTGGACAACGAACGAAGTTTAGCAACTATATTCTCTGTCTAGGAGGTGTGGTTTATCAAGCATTAATGCGCCCTGACTGCATATTGTGAAATATCTCGAGATGGACAAAACGAAAATTGTCATTCCATGTCAATATGCCTTATCCTTTATATTTTAAACTAAAGATTATTACAGAAATATGCGTATATCATATTTTCACTTTTGTGATATTTTGAGAGTTTATTCAAAGTCTATCATGTGAGGAATAAAACAACATATTAGCTCAACTATGGATTTAATCAGATACCTATATTATGGACACACAGCGGAATATCGTCATCACATAGGTACTCAGTCTTAAAACGATACATAACAAACGTGAACAAAGCGTTATAAAAAAGTACAAATCTAACGTTTTCAATCACTAATCCTGAACTTTCCTAACAAGACACGAGGTATTTTGATGAATACCTACATAAACTTCTTTCACTTGCTTTCAATCTTTGCTGTATCCTGATTCTCATGTGTAATGGGAATCTTCCTTTCCTCTTCTATGGCGTTTGGATTCCTGGGGGCCGTGATGGTTAAAACACCTTCAGATGATAGGGTAGACACTGCATTCTGAACGTCGTGCCCTTTGGGTAGCACAAACCTCCTGACTAGATGTCTGGATATGAACCCTTGATCTTTACCATGCTTTTCCTCGTGTTTGGCTTCTATCTGGATGGCATTTCCATTAACCGTTTTCACTTGTATTTCCTCAGGTTTGAAGTCTTGCACGTCCAGTTTCACTTGGAACTTCTCTTTATCCTGAATTACAGCGTCTTTACCCATGACTTCATCGTAGCTGATTCTGGGAGCATATCGGAACATGTCGTCTGCATAACGCATCTGCCGCTCCATTTCTCTTTCCAGCATCCTTAACGGACGCACCATGTCGCGGAAAATCCATGGCACCATCGACATTTTTTTTTTTCGAAAATGCGTTTACAATTCGAATTCACTTGAATCACAGTCGAATATCGACTACGGATAACTCAACTCGCGTTCGTTGTCAGTTTCAAACTGACGGCAATTTGCCGGTCTCGGCTTATATACGATCTGATTGGCCCCGTCCTGGGCACGCGTACCTTCTGGAAATTACTAGAATGGCTGCGAAATTCAAACGTATTTCCAACGTTTGGGGTGCTGTAAGTGTTCCGGGGAGTTCTAGAAAAATGGAGAAAGACGTATTACGATATATCAAAGATATCTTTTGACCTCAGTTAATAGCTGGCACGTTATTTACATAGCATTTGGAATTAACAATAATAGCGTTCCAAATACGTATTTGCCAATAATATAAATAACAATGAATTACCCAAAAAACGCGCCTTGCTATCGGAGTACTACCCGCAAACCTTCTAATGCACCATAGATTTTGAAAGAAATGTGTCAAAATTTCTCCACTCTTAATTTTTTCAGAACGATTTGATTTTCAAATCAAATTATTGATTTACACCAGGTTGCCAAGCATCCAACTGATATTTCAGTCCACAATTCTACCTTTGTGATTCTACCATCTACCTGTGCAGAACTTAAGCATAACTTCAAATGATTTACTTCTACTAATCTTGTAGCGGTATTGACTTTTCAGTTTTTTCTATTTTATTACAGTTCATAAATGTTCTTGAATACCTAATGGCATAAGAGATCTTACTTTAATTTTTAATGGCGCTACAGAGTTGATATTTACTCATTCTTTACAACCATGTTGTTTGTATCTTCCAGATTCGAACTGGAGTTTTTGTAGAACCAGTAAGGATGCAAAAATGGTTACATTTTCACCGCAATAACCGGTTCACTCAAACTCCAAAGACATGCTTCCCGATTACCTTTGATTAACGGAGTTGATAGTTATAACAATGTTGAATGAGCTGATATAGATGCATGCAACAAAACCTCTGTCAAAGATGCAGTCCAGGTTAATAGGCTTAAATATTGTACGTTTTGGAAACGTTAATTTTTCTACAGTTTCTAGAACATTTCTATTGGTCTGACAACAGCGCGTTTATCCATCTTTTGACGTTTTCCAGTTCTGTCACTACGTCACTAGTTGTTATCTGTCAATTTGCAGTTTATGGACTTTTTGAGCTAGTGTGCGGAAAGTTTGATGGTGAAAATATAGTAAAATAAGTGCATTTTTACAAAAAAATATTGTTTGTAAACCTTTAATTTGTTTCTTTACAGCTATTTATCGTATTAGCTGTCGCTTTTGACTTTCTAGGTAAGTACTGTATGATACAAACTGGTGATAGCTAAAAATGGCGTCCACACCTTTTTTTGAGAGAAATTCCATGTACTCAGATTGCGATTAATCATTGTCTATTAGAAGCATGTATTACGTTTGTGTTACGTTAGAAATAAAATAAAAATGTAGATTTGAAGGTTCTAGCAACTTTACAAGTTTTTAAATCAATGGTATTATAGATCGCAACCCGAACTCTAGAAAGTAGATCCCCTCCTGATCGGTATTTTTAGGATGTTTCGCAATACTTCATCGGTAGGAAGTTTTTGTCAGCTGTTTATTTTTGTAATTTTTTCTTCTGAATTTTTGTAATAAATGTGAGGTCAAGATGTAAAGAACGCAAACATATCTGGACGGCTTTTTGCAGAAAGGAACCAACCCACTAATATGAAAAATCTAGATTTTAGGAAAATAAACTAAGATTACAAGCAGTACCATTTACTCTAAAGAATATCCATACGCATAAACACTTTAGTATGCCATTAATTAAAATCGTGTTTGGTCTGAAATTAATATGTTATCATTGTCAAAACTTTAAAGCCTAATTGCCCAAAAATTGTTTTTCTGGGTTGGCTCCTTTCAGCAACAAGCTATCCATTTGTTCTATGTTGCAAATGCTGGCATATTCAGGGAGGGGGGTGTAGGTTTGCGCTAAAGCCACCTCCCCCAGAACTTTTGGATAAAACAGTGGCTAAAAATCCATACAGTGCAGAATAATTTTGTATTATCCATGTTTCTAAAAATAAAAAATAAAAACTCAACAATGTCTTCAACCCTCGCAGGGGGGTGTGCCAGGGAGACATGGCCTGTCTCAGAATTTGGTACCCTAAAATTTGCATATTTAGCATGCTTTGTACAATATTTGGAATATTGCAAAAAAAAATTCATCTGCTTTTCAAAAATATTGGAGTTCAATATATTAACACTTTTTTATTGCTGATGTCTAATTGCTCCCTCCTGACCAAAATTTCTTTGAGAAGTTTTCAACCCCTGAGCTAGAAACTCTCTGTTCAACAGTATCATTTTTGAAGGTACTGTTAAAATTGTTAAAAAATCATTTGTCTGATCAAAAAACACAATAGCACAATCAAATCCAAGATCTCACATCACTGTAAAGATGTGTTTATTAATGTGTTAGTAATTTTATGTTTGATCCCTTATGAAGGATCTTAAAAGAGGATATTAGAAAATGTTGTTTATAGGAAACAGGAACAATTTCAATGCTATTCTAGCTTGTGACAGACACTAAATAAAATAACAAGAGCAATAATGATATATTAACGGTTAAACATTTCACAAACATATAATGAATATTTCTCGACTAATAAAGTGTTCCCACTTCTGTATTGAGAGTCTTACATCCTAGATATGGGACCATGTGCAACATAGCTGTAGTTCTAGCTTGTGTCAGACACTGAAGCAGTTTTGCATTGGTTCCTAAGTCATCTAATATGTCAATAGTACAAATGTACATGACAATTCTTGAAAACAAAGCATAAATGGCAAGTAGATATATAGTTGCTATGTGGAAACTGAACACTGATAATAGAGTCACAAAAAAATTATTCTGCCAAGAGAAAGTGATGAAATCTCAACATCACCTCTAAAGATGAATGAAATTTGGTGATGAAACATTCATTGATATGAATGACCTTGAAACATATTATTTAGCCAGAAATAGACATATTCACAATCTTGTTTTATAGATAGATTATAGATGTTAGAATTTGGGATCCTTTCTCAGGGAGCACCAGAAGTACCATCTGTGCTGTGGTATATTCATTCTAAAACCAACATTTTAAATGCTTCAGCTGTTTATCTTTAGATTTTGTATTCTCAAAATGAGGTAGTATAAAAGCAAGACAGGATATTAGTACTATTTACTAGGAACATAGGCTATTCAAAAATGACAAATTTGCTACATAGGTTATGAAAATATAAACCCCAGTATATTACATAAGCGAAATTTTAACATCGAAAACGATTTTTTTTTATTTAAAGTGCCAGTGTGTATGACATAATTTTCCCTGCAAAAATGCAATGAACATACTCAAATGTTTGTTTGCAATTTTTATGTAAATTAGTAAAAATATTTTTAAATTTTTATCAGGATTATTCAAATGATTTTACTGTTTAGTATCAAGCAAGGTCTAGATAATGTGTTCAAAATTGATGAATTGAGAATTCAAAGGACATTAGAATTTTTGCAAACAGTGAAGTTTATATATTTTCAAAAAGTTTAAATATTTGTTTATGTTATAATGGAAAAAATTGATAAACGATTTGGAAAAACAATTTTTGGCATTTTAGATTCATTACAGAATGAAATGAAAGTTGAGTTGGTCTTGCATAAAATAAAATAATTTTTATTTATTATCTGGTACACACTGCATTGAACGGTGATCTTGAGAACATTCCAGTTGACATTTCGACCAACTACACTTTCTAACTATCCGGGTTTCAAGGATAAAGAACGCAAGCCACTTGTTTGTAATCTAACATCACGAAGTTGATGAATAGAAAAATATATCCCTGACACCAGACTCGCGTGAGACACCAACTTTAGGCGAATGTCACATGTTCAGTATTTACTGTAATCAATCAGCATTTATCATGGAATGCCATATTCATTGATTTCTGAGCCAGGATGTCAGTAATGATATATAAGGCTATTTAGTAATTCACTGATACAGACAGAATGTTCAGAAAATACTGATGGTACAGACCATAGTAAATGTGATGGATTTGCTATACAGGTTCCATTTTTTTTTGTGATACATTCACCTCATATTAAACCAGAGTTTGAAATTATGATATTTATATAAATATTATATCACATGATATATATCCTATAAATATACCGGGTGTCCCAGAAGTCGACGTCAAGCCGAAACCGGGTGATAGGCAAAGTCATAACAGCTATCAGAAAAATATGTATTTAAAAAAATTTTATGTATGTGTTTCGAAAATTATAGGTCTTTGAAAAAAATATAGAAATTTCACACACTACGGCAGTCTGTCAACTCCTGTTACTACAAATATTAACTTTTTTTGGATTTTATTTTTACAATGTAATGATGAATAATGCATCTTCAAACTGGTGTCTCAACCTTACTGCCAACTTTTCTCGTTCAGGAAAAATTGTCACTTATTTCCCAACCAAGTATTCCAAAGTAAAACTTTGCTCAACTTTAACTGGCTGTACTGGAAAAAAATGTACTATGAGAGTTTGGCAAGTAACCTTAAAAGTTGGCGCATTTAATGAGGATTCCAAAATGGTATAACACTTAGAAGATTACTCGTTAACTTCTGCACAATTTTTATTTGAAGAAAAACTGATGAAAATTTTTCAAAATTTCCTAATTAAACAGCGATTATGAAAACGCATAAGGACCCTTAAGGATAACTGTTTGCACAACAGTGGGCGTCAAAATGCTGCTGATGATGATTTACCTTTACAGCAAATGCTCAAAGTGTTTTCCTTCAGCCGCAATACACGCTCGACATCTTCTTAAAAAAGATAGGGTTATTAAACGAGCGAATCCACGGTTATTAACAAACTCACCTGCTTCCAATAGTCTTTGCCGTAGCTCAGCTACATTTTGAATCGGCTTGAAATACACTTTTTCTTTTACAGTTCCCCAGTAAAAAAATCTAAAGGATTCAAATCTGGTGATCGGGCTGGCCACGGTATTGTACCAGACCGCCTTATCCATCTGCCTGGAAAGTTTTGATCGAGATACTCTCTCACTGAGAGTGCATAGTGCGCTGGGCAGCCATCATGCTGAAACCACATGTCCCTGTAAAAACTCAGTGGCACGTCCTCCAATAAATTTTTTAAATGATTTTGCAAAAAACCTAAATAAACCTCAGCAGTCAAAGTCTCTGGGAACTCAAACGGACCGATTATTTTACCATTTAAAATTCCTGTCCAATGGTTTATCTTGAAGCGATATTGAGATTTATCTTCTCTCATCAAATGTGGGTTTGCTACGTGCCACTCGTGTAAGTTATGCAGATTCATGTACCCATCTTTCATAAATGTGATCTCATCCGACCATAAAATTTTTTCAAAGAACTGTGGATCTTTCCTGTGTCTTTCTAACATTGTGCGACAAAAAGCAACTCGGGGCTCATAATTCCGGGGCAGGAGAGGTTGAACACGCTGTATGTGGTATGGATGAAGCACATCACTTACTTGCTATTGCACACTTTGATACCGATCAGTACTCCTTCGTTTACTGCGCATCTTTACATATTCGTGCTTGTTGATTTCGTACTGTTACTAATTTTGGATTCGTGAACTGGACTGTTGATCGCTTGTGATTTGGATTTGGACTGTTTAATTGCTCTTCAAAACAACATCTGCTTTCCTTAGACTATCTTTGCTAGTGTGATTGTGCAGTGCCGCTATGTCCGTGTACACCATACAAGAATATGCTAACATGCACCTCATTTATGGGGAATGCAGATGCAACGCTAGTGCTGCAGCGAGACTTTACTGTGAGAGGTACCCGAATGCAGCTCGTCATCCAGATCATCGAGTGTTCACAAATGTGCACCGCTTACTGTTCTCAGAGGGCCAACTATCAAACCAATCACACGGTGAGGGAACATCTTTTCTTCCTTACGAAGACGTGGTGCTAGGAGCTGTCGAAGAAGACCCGAGTACTTCAGTAAATAGAAGTGTGTTGGCATTCCTATTATTTGGTGGTTAATGTTTTCTTGGGGTAAATTATTCCACTCTTCATTTACTGCTGCAGCCAGCTCATTTAGGGTTGTAGGTGGATCTATTCTGTTCCGTATGGCTCGAGCTATAGCGTCCCAAATGTTTTCAATGGGGTTCATGTCTGGGCTGTTCGCAGGCCACGGCAATCTCACTATTTGGCCCCTTTCTAGAGCCCGCTGGACCCTTCTCGCTCTATGTGGCCTTGCATTATCATCCATAAAAATGAAGTTGTTACCGATTCATTTCGCAAATGTTGAATAATGGGTTGTATGACATTTTCTTCATAAATTTCTGCAGTCATTGTCCCCTGGATCTGAATTAAAGGTCTCCGGTGGTTAAACATTATGCCTCCCCAAAACATTATTGATCCGCCCTGATATGGGACAACTTCTCGGGCCAAATTTAGTCGCTGTTGATGTCCTGGTTCTCTCCAAACCCTTATTCTACGGTCATCACTCACCAGTCCTTACCTAACCTCATCTGTAAATACCACATTTCGCTACTGTGGTAAAAGCCACTCCTGATGTTCTCTAGCCGACTGGAGACGAGCCGCAATTTGTCTACGAGTAAGACGTGGAACCCTTAAAGGTCTTCTAGGGCGCAAATTTGCCATTCGCAATCTTCTTCTGATGGTAGAAGTGGAAATAACTCTTCGAAAGGGATGTTGAATATGCGATCTGAGAGCTGTACTTGTTGAAAATCTATTCCTCGGGCAAATAGAGCAATGTAACGATTCTCCGTATCTTCTGTTACTCGAGGACGCCCACTGCGTGGTGGCCGATTTTCAACTGAGAAAGTTTCTTGGAATCTCTGAATTGTTCGAATAACCGAACTTCTTGGGATACCCAAATCCAGTGCTATTCGGTGATTTGAAAATCCAGCTTGGAAGAGGGCTACTATTTGTGTTCTATCAAAACCAGAAATTTCAGCTCGCGGCATTTTAAAAGTTACAGTATAAAATTTTATTTTAATACTATTTGTTCAAACACTCCTGTTAAACTGACTTATTTCTATAAAAATCCAACACATTTTTATCTCAATCGTTTTTTGCTTGCTAAATATATATAGATTTTTTGTTCACAAACAGAATGTAGATAACATACCTCGGACACTTTTGATGATGTGTGTATATAACCTTCTAACCCTGTATGAAACAGTCCACCTTGTGACCAAATTATAAAACCATTTACTCCATTAAAGCATTATTTCCAGGTTTGATATTGTCTGAAGATGGCTGAAGGCGGCACCGACGTCGCTGAGATCCCTTCTCCTCCAGGCATGACCGATCATCCGCCGCTTCCGCCCGAGCCGCCATCTCCACCGCCACCAGCGCCTCCCACTCAGCCCCCGCCGCCCCCTTCAGCGCCCCCAACATTGCCCCCAATTCCAAATGCCGCACCGTGGACCCAGAACCAACCGCCCCAGCTATATTACTACAATGCTGCTGCTCCACCATCATTCATGTATCCTAACTACTACTACTATTACAGTCAAATGTACGCCAATCCGAATAATAATGAGGTGTCCAAGGCCCAGCCGCCCCTGCCCCCAGGGCCGCCATTACCCCCTACGCCACCGCACACCCCTAGGATACCTTTGCTGAATACGCCCAAGCAGTTTGGCGCTATTAGATTTCAATTGAACGGCGGAAAACGGTTACCTAATAATATGAACATTCTACAAACCTCACAGAACAGCGGAGCCGCGAAGAAGAAGAGGAAACGTAACAGAAATAATCAAAATGCCATGAAACAAAACGCATTTATTATGCAGAATATAGGCACCCCAACACCTCCGTTACCCCCTCCAGAAGTCAAACCAGCACCGCCCCCTGAAACGATGCCCCCATTACCTCCAGAAGAAGCCAAACCCCCAGTACAGGAACCTTCTGCACTAGCTAATACTCCTCATAATGGACTGACCAATGCAACAGACGATTGGCCAGACAGTTTGAAAGATTACATCCATCGTTGCTACGCGAAATGCAAAACCACAGTAGACAAAAACCAAGTTGAAATCATCTTGAAGGGCAAGATTACGCAAGCATACCAATCAGGTCATTTGCAGAAGGACTGGAACAACGAGCCGTTGCCGAGCATTCACAGCGAAAGCACCAACAAGCCTACGTTCACAGGACAAGCAAAAACTGTCACCGGACAGTTATCCCAGTTTCAGAATGGTAAGAAAGGTCTTTCACCCGGTTTGGGCGCCAGATTAGGCGCGCGAGCGATAGGTGCACTTCAAAAGGCTTCGAAAGGCGGCGGGTCGGCTAGGGATAGGTCGAGGTCGCCGGCGAGTAGTGGCACCAAAAGGAGGTCTAGGTCCAGGTCAAGGAGCCCTAAGAGATACAGGTCATCTAGGTAAGTTCAGTTTAAAATCGATAGATAAATTAATATGCTTTATTGTTTGAATCGTTCTTAATGACAAAGCTAACCTAGAACTAATCTATAACAAGATTACATACAGTAATGGACAAAAGTATATAGACAAATTAATATTGTGCTGTATTTCTTTTTTAACTTGTTTTATTAATACACCAACCTGTGTACATAATTCGTTATAGCATAATACTCACTTATACATAAATAAACTCATTAGACTACCTTCAATAAAAAATTAATTGATAAGAACTGGAACTATGACGGACAAAAATATATAGACAAAGCAAAACATTTATAGAAAAAAGAAGCAAAGTTCATTGAATTATAGAAAACCAACCATGTTCGTGTTAATATTTTGTAGCATAACCATTATCAATCACCGCCTGGCATCGTCTCGGCATAGATTGTAGAAGTTTCTTGATATAAGATTCATCAATCTGTCTCCACTTTTGCTCTAAAGCGGCAAAAAGTTCATCCTTTTTTGAATAATTTTTATCTCTTATTTGCTTATCTAAGTATTCCCATAGATTTTCAATGGGGTTTATATCGGTACACTGTGAAGGCCATTTGAGAACTGGTATTTTTTCATCCAGAAAGAATTTCTTTGCAAGATTTGAAGTGTGCTTCGGGTCATTATCTTGCTGGAAGATAATGACCCGAAGCACATCTTAAGGGCATATTGTCTTCCATATCCCTATATGTTACCCTTAACATGACATGCTTTAGTATGTCTGTGTATACAAACTTATCCATAATGCCATCTGTTGTATGTAAAGGTCCCATCCCAAACCCTGAAAAGCACCCCCAAACCATAACAGACCCGCCTCCATGTTTGACAGTGGGCAAAGTGTACTTGGGGTTCAATCTTTGTCCACTAGGACGTCTAACGTAATGAACACCATCTGATCCAAACATATTGAACTTGGATTCGTCACTGAAACATACCCTCTTCCAGTCACAGAAGCTCCAATCAAGATGCAACCGTGCAAATTGTAATCGGTCCCTACGGTTTTTCCTCGAGATTAGCGGCTTCTTACTCGCGCGACGTGCAAATAACTTCAAATCTTTTAATCTTCTACTTATAGTTTTCGTAGTAACACTGACAATTCCTTTTGTCTCGATTTCGATGTGTCTTGGGGTTTGAACGGATCTTTGGACGAAATTACTTTTATTAATCTAACTGATCTAGCATTTAGTTTTTTAGGCCGACCACTTCTCTTACAGGCTTCCAAGATACCTTTTTGTTTATATTTGTTCAATATTGCCCAAACTGCTGCAGCTTCAAATTTTTGGCAATATCGACTTGACGTTGACCATCTTTGTATAACTCAATGATCTTAGTTTTCACATCTAAAGAAATTTCTGGACCATGCGGCATGGTCTTAAAATCACTGAACTTACTACTTGATGAACACAAACTAATCCTCTTCTGACACGAAACTGTACTAAACTAATGTTGAAAAGAATTTTTCTACATATTTTTGTCCCTCATAAAAAAGTGCTTATATTCATACTTCTATTGTGTTCATTGCAGATAATGTAAAAACAAGGAATTTAGTTTTTCTATTAATAACGCATTTGTTTGTGGAGCAATGAAGCATGAATTTGTTTTCTAAAGGTATTTAGGTAAATATTATATACTTTTGTCCATTACTGTATATGAATCTTTAGTAGGTGAACTGTAGATCTCACACATGATATAACAGTTTATATTTTGACAATAATAATAATAATCTTTATTGCCCAACAGTCTCCCAATTGCAATACAATAATACATAAGCATACCATAAGACCAAATTGAATAGAAAAAAAAAACATTAATGGATGTCAAATATAAGTGTTTTACTATGCAGCTATATTTTTTCTTTTACATAAAACGAAATGTTCATTTGATTTTACGCATGTCCTGTTATTGGGTACACATGTACCTGTTGGAAATAAATGTCTATCTATCTATCAATAAGTTTCAATCCAGTAGTGGTGAAATACTCGGTGGAGGCTTTGGCGCGATGAGCTGGAGCGTTGTCATGGTGGAGGTACCAAGTGTCCATTTTTGATTTTGGCCGTAGGTTTTTCATAGACTCTATGACCTTAGGCAGGCACTGTTCCGTGTACCACTTAGCTGTGACTGTCTTCTGTGTGTCCAAAACGACACGCTCGACAATCCCGTTCGATATGAAAAATACAGCTATCAATTTTTTTCCCAACAGATCGGGATTTTCTGACAGCTACGCGTGTGCCCTCATCACCAAAGCCTTGGTCGGCACATCGTAATAATAAAACCAAATCTCGTTACCTGTCATGATGCCGTTCACATACCGAGATTGCCCCTTATCAAACATTTTCAGCATCTTTCGGCACCAAGTCGTACGACGAGTCTTCTGCTCTTCCGTCAGACTATGCGGTACCCAGAGAGAAAAAAGTTTCATTACGTGTAAATAATCATGCAGAATTGAATGAATTGCTGGTGCATGATGTAAGGTCTCCTCTATCTGTTGGTATGTCACTCTCCGGTCTTCGTCAACCATTTTCCTCAAAGCAGACATGTTTTCCAATGTTAGTGGCCTTACTTCCCTCTCAGCCTCCTCACAGGGAGAAATTACCCCTTTGGAATTTTCTGTACCACCTTAATATAGTCGTACGATGATTCTTCAATCATTCTTTAATGCAAGCGTCACTGCTTCTAAGCACTGCTCTATGCTTAACCACGCGTAAAGTTATAGCGTAAAACTGCTACCTAATTAATCTTTCTTGTGAACAGGGAACTTTTACAAGTTGTTTGAAACAAGCCTTGGTTATACCTATCTACAAACGGAATGATCCAAATGACTATGCCAATTATAGAGGCATCAGCTTGCTTTCAAGTACGAGTATATCTAAGGTGTTTGAACTCAACATGAAGAATCAACTAGTGGATTTTTGTAGCAAAAATAATTTTATATCAGATAATCAGCATGGATTTATTAGTAAAAGAAGCACTGAAACTGCATTGTATAGTTTTGTAGAACATATATACACCACATATATGTGATTTATCCATAGATTTCTCTCGTGCGTTCGATTATGTGGACCATGAGCTACTTCTTTTCAAACTGCACAGGTATGGAATACGTGGCTTGCCATTGCAGCTGTTTCGCTCGTATATTACACAAAGAAAACTACGCGTTTGGGTCAACGGTACCAACAGTGAAACATCAGAAGCAAACATTGGTGTGCCACAGGGTTCAATTCTAGGACCATTTTTGTTTCTGTTGTATGCTAACGATTTGTCCGACTTTATATCTGAAGCTGGTCCTGAATATAAGGTTGTGGCATATGCAGATGACACCAATATCTTGGTTACCAGTCCAAACATCACCGAGCTGCCGGAAATGGCTGAGAGAGCATACAACAGAATCATTAAATGGTCTGAAAATAACTTCCTCCGAGTAAACACAGAAAAGACCAGCATTATGAAATTCGCATTAAAAGATGAACAAGATTTCAACATTTTTGATCATACTAACAGAGCCATCATCTAATTCAGTTAACATGCTGGGGATGATACTTCATTGTCGAATGTCGGGGGGGTTCCACGTTGAGTGTTTGTGCAATAGATTGCGAAGGAGTTGCTATGGCTTGAAATTCTTAGCAAAACAGTGCAGTAAACGAATTTTAAAAACTTTATACTATGCCACTGTCAACTGTCATATCCGCTATGGTATTCTCAATTGGGGAAGTAGTTCACTAACTGTAAGAGTTCTCCTGCTGCAAAAATATGCCATTAGAATTATTGATAACCTTGGTTGGCGCCAATCCTGTAGAGAATCCTTTAGAACACTAAAGATGTTGACTGTTATAGATATTTATACTAAGTGACATATAAATCCGAACACCCAGTTTAAATGGTTTTATTTTAATAAACTTTTGTATAAGTACCTAATGAAGCATAATAAGTAAATGATAAAAATTTCATAATGATTGCACTGCTTTAAAGCCCTTTGACCTTTAATAATGTGTGGATGTACCCTGATGTGCTACGCATTCTCCAACGCGCCTAGGCATGCTTCTGATCAGGTGGTCAATGTCCTCCTGTGGTATCTCATTCCAGGCAACCACCAACTCCTCTCGAAGTGCTTCTAGAGTCTGAGGAGGACGTTGCAAATTGAGCAATCTCCTACCCATCATATCCCACACGTGCTCAATTGGGGATAAGTTGGGAGATCTTGGTGGCCATGGTAACAAAGTGACATCATTATGTTGAAAGAAGTCTATTGTGACTCTTGCAACATGTGGTCGGGCATTATCTTGTTGGAAAGTTGGATTTGCCAGGGTGTCAAGATAGGGTAAAAGATGGGGTTCTAGAACTTCGTGGATATAACGCTGCGCGTTCATGTTACCTCTGATGAAGATTAAAGGTGACCTGGAACCATAAGCTATAGCACCCCAAACCATAACTCCAAAAGTGTGATGAACATGTCTTTCAACAAAAAACTGTGGATTCCTCCTTTCACCACGTCGCCTTCTAACCCTGGTACGACCATAGTGCATGCCTAAACAAAATCGAGTCTCGTCACTAAAGACAATACTGTTCCATTCCTGATCCCAGAGTGACCGTTGTCTGCACCACTCAATGCGATTACGTCGGTGTTCTCGAGTTAAAGGGAGGACCCAGTGTGGCCGGTATAAAAACAAGCCAAAACTTCTCATTCGTCGGTAAACACTTCGCATGCCAATAGGTCTTCCGTATTCTGGAAACCATTCATTTGCAATGGGCCTGGTAGTGGAGAAACGGTCCTTAAGGCCAATAATCTTAGGCGGCGATCTTCACGGTCTGTTGTTCTACGGCGGCGTCCAGTGCCCCTTGCTCTTTGCGTACAGCCTTCTCGATGCCATGCGTGACAACACCTAACCACAGTGTCTACACTTCTTTGCACTCTAACTGCAATTGCCTGAAAAGAAAGTCCAGCTTCCCGAAGTCCCACAATACGGCCCCTATCAAACTCGCTAAGTTGACGAAATCGTACAGGTCTCCGTACTCTAGGCATCGTAACCGATCGTAAAGGATGTCAAGAACCAAAATCCGCCAACTTTGATTCTTTACTGCGGCTGAAATATTCATTTTTAGAGCGTTAGTGAATTAAAAAAAAGCAGTATAAAAACCGGAATGTCCAACTGAGGCTGAAAATTTTTTCACTTGTTATTTACAGTAAGATAAATACATTCACCAACTTTTATTAAAATAAAACCATTTAAACTGGGTGTTCGGATTTATATGTCACTTAGTATACATTTATGAGTTGGCTTTGTTTTCAAAAATAAGCGCGAATTTGAAGTCATCAAACACCAGCATGAATATCCAACTAGGTGTAAGCTGCTTTTAATCCCGCCGAGACATCGAACTACGGCATACCAAAAAACATGCAGGTATATGGGATGTAAGATTTTTAATAAGCTCAATGATGATATTAGGAATGAATCAAATATAGCTGTTTTCAAAAGAAAACTAAAACTTTTTTTGATAGACAAATGATTCTACACCTTGGAGGAGTTTTTTGTTTAGATCTATGTCTTTATACTTTTTCAACTCGTCACCACTATTTATATGACCTTTTCATTTGTTATAGAATTTTCTGTTCTATTCAACAATGAATAAATTATTATTTTTTATTATTATTGCTCTTATATCACTACATGACCACAATGCCATAGTCCACACGTTACACTGTCAATACGAATGAACAACTAAATCAACAGATGTGCTCCTAGTGGCTACTATGTACTCATGGACAAGTCTCAACCTGCAGTAACACGCAGCCTCCTGCGTCTGTTTGTTAAGTTATATTGCTAAACTTTTATAGTACCCTTTGTACAAGAGGAAATATAGATTTTCATGTTCAAAATTGCAATTAGTAATATGACTAGCAAATCAGTATTTCAGAACGGATTACTTCAATTTAATAAACCGAATAATGATATAGTCTACTTATAATTTAAATAAAATTAAAGGAATATTACATGGACAGTGAGAATTCTTAGAGATGCAAATTTTGTTTTTCTAAATATCTGTATGTTATGTCATTGTTGAAGCACTCAAGCTAAATACATCTTAAACAAACAAACCCCATTTTTTGTTGTTTAAGTGAGAACTGCCAAGTGACAAACTTCATTCTTAAGTAACTTTTTCCTAACTAATAACTGTTGCCTTTTCAGTGATAGTTCCCGTTCCAGCAGCGACGAGAGCAGCTCGAAGAGTAAGAACAGCAGTCGAAAATCAAAAGGTAAATTAGCAGATAGGTTAGGACCGTCGGCAAAGAAATTTCAGGCAAAATCCCAGAAGAAAAGGCGGAGCAAAGAGAAGAAAGTCGTTCCGTTCTACTCGACTTTTGGTCAAGACGTCGAAGAAAACACGGAGGTTCTGCAGCAAAGAGCTGCAAGGTTCGCCGGCAAATCGTCGAACAATTCTTCTGCGAACAGTACTCCTTCGCAGACGGTTTGCAAACGGCAATACTCGGAGAAATTCGACGAGAGTAACGGTGACTTCGATTGGTCAGGGTGTCACATCGTTGGTACTAGTCAGGAACTGGAGAAGTCATTCCTCAGGCTGACGAAAGCGCCAGAAGCATGTGACGTCCGACCTGTCGAAATGCTCACCAAGTCCTTGCAGAATGTCAAGGAGCGATGGGTGCAGAAGCAGGACTATTTCTATGCATGTGACCAGCTCAAGTCTATCAGGCAAGATTTAACGGTTAGTATTTATTCTAAAACATCCTATCTTAGCTCAAACCACTTTTATCTCATTCAAATAAAGATCCTATGCCTGGGGAGATACCGCTTAGGTTAAATTACCAATAAGATATTTTGCAGTTAAACCTTTTCTATTCATACAGGGCGAAAGGTAAATAGGTGTAAAACATTTTAGGAGGTGATAGTACAGCTCCTTTGCTATCAAAATTAGTATATAATACCATACCCTATATTCAAAGGTCAAAAAGTTATGGAAGATTTAATTTTTTTTAAAAAAACAACCCAGATTACAGAGTAAAATAGTTGAGATAAAAAAAAGTTGGTGATTAAATTACATTCTTTTTTTGGTGGTTTCAGGTTATTATTTAAATAAATAATTCTCAAAAATTAAAAAAACATATGAAAACACTACTGAAAACGTATTTATTTTCATTTAAATGTTAAATGAAAATTTTTATTGTCCACTTTCACATTAAGAAGTCTTTTTTTTCAAAAAAATCATAATACAGAAAATGTACAAATAACTGCAAAAACTTCCTCGTTTCATTAGGTTTCTAAAATGGTATAATAACATATCAGTAAGTAAACCATTTAACAAAACAATATTACTTTGCTAGAAAGGACCGCTAAGCGCATTTCATTGTACTGAGCATGTAAACCGAGCCTTTCATGGTTCGACCCTTTTTGTTATTTTTTGTGCCCTGTGCCGTTATTCGGGATTAAGTATTCGGAATCTGTCGTCGCTCCTCGGAAGCAAGCTCTGCGTGTGTTATGAATTGACACAGCTGACGGATCAAGGAAAGGGAACTAACGCTTAGGTTAGTTAGTAGAATATCAACCTTTATCGCGGTAGGACGTACTTTTACTTTCTTGATCAGTTTAAATAATGGCGAGTTACCGTAACGAAGAATACGCTGATATTCTGTTTTGTTATGGTTCAAGTGATGGAAATTCCGTTGAAGCCAGGCGAGAATACGAAAACCGTTTTCCGAATCGGCGAATACCGAGTCATCGAGTATTTGCTTCTGTGTACCAACGCGTCAAGGAAAGTGGACAGGTTCATGAGAGACGTCATGATGCTGGTAGACCTCGGTTGTTTGACGACGAAGATCGAGAGGCAATACTGGAATGCTACGGCAGAGACCCGACGACGTCTACACGAGTTATAGCAAAGCAACTTGGTTTAACTCAGTGGAAAGTTTGGTTTGTTTTGCATTCGGCGAGACTTTACCCTTTCCATTACACACCGGTTCAAGTATTAGAAGAAGGAGATCCCGCAAGAAGAATTGATTTTTATCGATACATGCTTCATCGGGATCATGAAGAAAACGACTATTTAACTAAAATATTGTGGACCGACGAGTCTAAGTTTGACAGAGAGGGGACAACAAATTATCACAACTTACATTATTGGGCCCCACGAGAGGCAAATCCCCACATGGCAAAGCCAAGAGCCCATCAAAGATTTTCGGCAAACGTGTGGATGGGAATCATTCATACGTATCTAATTGGACCAGTTTTTTTGCCTGACAACCTGAATGGCGAATCCTATGAAACCGAACTCTGGGAGTATCTCGAAGACCTGCCTCTGAATATCAGGATGTAGATGATTACCAAAACGATGGCTGTCCCGCGCATTTCTGTCTGGGTGTTAGACAGTAGCTGGACGAGAAATATCCTTGTCGCTGGATTGGCCGAGGTGGACCGACACCGTGGCCAGCGAGGAGCCCAGATTTAACACCGTGTGACTATTATTTATGGGGGCACATGAAGTCACTGGTGTACGCTGAGCCCATAGACACTCTTGCACAGTTGAAAGAAAGAATTATTGCTGCTGCTGACACTATCAGAGGACAACTAACTGGCCGCATCACGCGTACCAACATGAGAAAAAGACTACGGGCTTGCATAAGAAACGGCGAACAACAATTGCAATGAATTTTACCTTCATTTCATTATTGTATTTTACTTACCAATTGTAGTAACTTTTAGTCAGTTTTTATTATTCTGTAGTATAATTACAACTGTGTAAATAATCTAATCGTGTAACTTAGCCGTAGTTTAAAATAATAACTATCCCATAGCTTACAGTTACATTATTTTCACAAAAACACTTACTTATCAATCAGAGAGTTGTGATAATAGGAGACAAGCCATTGGTAAATTTACTCCCTATTGTTGTATTACAATACATTATGTTTAGTTTCACACAGTTTTTGTGCACTTATCATACCAATTTGGATTCCTTATGAAACAAGGATATTATTTAAATTGTTTGTACGTTTTTTTGTATACTGATTTTTTTGTAAAACACCTTACTTACTGTAAAACATTATTTGTTTTTCTTAGTTAAACATTTTTGAATGAAAATAAATACGTTGTTTGGTATTGTTTTCGAATCTTTTTTAATTTATAATAGTTAATTATTGAAATAATAACCCAAAACCACAAAAAACAAATGTTTAATCGCCAACTTTTTTCTCTCTCGACTTTTTTACTATGAAATATGGATTGTTTTTAAAAAAATCTTAAATCTTCAATAGCTTTTCAACCTTTGAATATAGGGTATGGTATTATATACTAATTTCGATAGCAAAGGGGCTGTACTATCACTTGTTTTACACCTATTTGCTTGTCACCCTGTATACTTATAGTGTAATATTAATAAAAATTGGATTTACAGGTGCAGGGAATAAGAAACTCGTTCACCATTGAAGTTTATGAAACTCACGCAAGGATTGCTCTTGAAAAATGTGATCATGAAGAGTTTAATCAATGCCAAACTCAACTAAAAATGTTGTATAATGAAATTGGCGGTGATAACAGGAATGAATTTGTTGGATACAGGATATTGTACTATATTTTCACCAAGAATACACTAGGTAAGTGAATTTCTGAAGTTTTAGGTCTCTTGCATACTGTCACAGTATTCAAAAGTTAGTATTAAGTCTATTTTTGAAGTCGAGTCATTAATTTTCAGATAATGATTGTAGAAGGAAGATAAACCAAAATATGTGTGTAAAAATAAAAAAATAAAAAAAATTGTTACCGTGTTTTATAAAGTATCCTCCCGACAAGTATTTCAGTGCGGACCTGTATTTGATCGTGCGGTCTTGGAGCACTGGCATGCCCCCTCCCCTGTGAGTTCTAAGTCACCTGATTCACGTACTACATTAACAAAGGCTCGAGGGGTTGGTTGCAGTCGATTGGGAAACCGAACCGCATAAATCCGTGATGCCGCGGCAGCATTTTGTAAAGACTTTTGTAAAGATTTTCGTAAACATGTGCCATTTTTTATTTCGTTTGAGCCACACAACAAACACCACTATTCACTCACGCGTTACCGACTGACACATTGACTGAATACAACTGAATAAAATTGTGGTAAAAACATTGTGATAAGCGTTTCAAATTCTTTCGCTTTTTTGTTTCCGATGCGATGAACCGATAAGGCGGATTATATCCGTTGTTGCCAAACACGAGCACATAATATTATTATTGAGACAGCGCGGTACTCAAACTTCTATAGGGCTATAACTTTGTTACTTTAATTTTACCACAAAAATGTTAAAGGAAAAAAACATTTCTTTTGATAAGATCTACTCACTGTTAAAATAAATGACTCAACTTCGAAGTCACCCTGTATATTTCATTAATATAGCAGTTGTAAGACTTTACAATGAGAATAGCTCAATTATGCATATTTTTACATAAGTTTTTGATTCTTAGAAATTTTGGGAAAATATCTATCTTCATTCAAATCATAATAATCATTAGCAAAACCCCAAGTAGGAATTACATGAAAGAGACCTCTGTAGTATGAAAGGAATTGTTTCTTCAGTTTAGATATCTTCAGAAAATTATTCCACATGTCCTCCAACTTTTTTTTTTAATTCGGACACTTCATCATTTTCATGCGCATTTTTTAGTAGCATGTTCGATATCAACATTTGGAATATTCAATGCGATGGACAAAAGTATATAGACAAATATGAATATTTACCTAAATACCTTTAGAAAACGAATTCATACTTCATTGCTCTATGAACAAATGCGTTATTAGTAGAAAAACTAAATTCCTTGTTTTTACATTATCTGCGATGAACACAATACAAGTCTGAATATAAGCACTTTTTTATAAGGGACAAAATTATGTAGACAAATTCTTTTCAACATTAGTTTAGTACAGTTTGGTGTCAGAAGAGGATTAGTTTGTCTTCATCAAGTATTGTGGAATAAGTTGAGTGATTTTAAGACCATGCCTCGTGGTCCAGAATTTTCCTTCAATGTGTAAACTAAGATTATTGAGTTATACAAAGATGGTCAACATCAAGTCGACATTGCCAAAAATTTGAAGCTGAACCGTAAAGCAGTTTGGGCAATATTGAACAAATATAAACAAAAAGGTATCTTGGAAGCCTCTAAGAGAAGTGGTCGGCCTAGAAAACCAAATGCTAGATCAGTTAGATTAATAAAAGTAATTTTGCCCAAAGGTCCATTTAAAACCCCAAGACAAATAAAAGCCGAAATCGAGACAAAAGGAATTGCCAGTATTTCTACGAAAACTATAAGTAGAAGATTAAATGATTTGAAGTTATTTGCATTGTATGTTTCAATGACGAATCCAAGTTCAATATGTTTGGATCAGATGGTGTTCATTACGTTAGACCTCCTAGTGGGCAAAGATTAACACCCATTTAGCCTAATCTTTTAATTTGTATTACTTCGTCTATGATGGTTCTTGAAATATTTCGTCAAGTAGAGCCAATGCTCAGTATATAGTATATACCTAATTTAGATTCGATTTAGATTTTTGTTACGACTTGACTCATCCTTCTTGTTTGAATCCTCCAACGAAGGCGAAGGAACTATAGAGTCAATCTAGTTGACGCCATTTTTTGTCAATTTCACTTCGGCTTAGGAACAATGTACAATACTAACTCATTTTCTGATCCATTCCAGATATAATGACCATGATGAAATCGTTCACTGCCGATGAGAAGACCCACCCTTGCATAGCGTTCTCGTTAAAGGTGCGCTCCGCATGGGCGTTGGGCAACTTCCATAAGTTTTTCACGTTGTATCGCGAAGCCCCGTTGATGGCCGGCTTCCTCATGGACTGGTTCATCGACAGGGAGCGCAAAGCGTACTTAAAGTGTATTATCAAAAGGTATGTATCCGATCAACGGTCACGGTGGGACCGAATGTGCGATTCGGTTTTTGGCATAATTGCCGATTTGCAGTGTGGCTAAAAACGAATATGTAGCAGAAGTATCGTTAGACGTAAAAATATAAGAACCTCGGATTCCAGGTCCACTGGATGGATTTTTGAGATAAACATAAAAAAATTGAAGTCGCTTTTCCTCGTGACCAATTTCAGACAATTTTTTGTAGGAGTTGAAACTTGGGGGCTGTACGGGATGGGGGAGGGTATTTGAATATGTTGTTCCGATTCCGGTAATTCTATGGACCTATTTGCCTTTAAAACTTGAAATGATAGAGAAATGCCTCGAGGATATTGCGTGTATTTGTGTCAGTTATTATTATTATTATTATTATTATTATTCCACTTTTCTCACACATCAGTGTAAATTTTCGTGTTCTGTTCAATGCTCCCAAGTATTACTATGTCATATATATTCTCTTTTAGTAATGTATCTGGGGAAGACTTACTGGAATTTATTATGATTTCGTAGAAAAAGACTCGGTTTAACTTTATACGTTTTCTTTCTATTTCTACAGTACATTACTTATTTGTTTCTACTTCAAAGCTAAATTAGTGATAGTTTTTACGTATGTTATTTTTAACATTTCTTCCAGCTATTTTCAAATTATTTCTAAGCAAAAAGCTGTATGTCACTTTTATAGATGTTCCTTGGGTACGAGTGCCTTTTGAGGGATGATCTCCTTGGATGTTAAACAAACTGTAATGCTTCCTTGAGGAACATTTTAGCGAGGGTTTAACATTTGTATTTCACAGTAGGCTGTAAAAAATTATCCGAAAATCTGAAATATACTAAGTGACATATAAATCCGAACACCCAGTTTAAATGGTTTTATTTTAATAAAATTTTGTATAAGTACTTAACCCTCGGCTAGGCGCGCGGCTGTTTATAACGTATTTGGGCGCGCGGGCTACAATTGTAGCCCAACTTTTATTCCATATAAAATTTGTTTATGCCTTTTTTATGCCGCTTTTTTCATAAGATATATTCACTATGATATTACTTAATCGCTAAAATGTGATTTCCTTGCTTTCATGTACAAATATGTTTTAGCATGTGCATAAAATACCAATTATGAATATTTCTTATGTATTTTCGAAGCAGCTCGTATTCATTGTCTTTTGCAAATGAAATATACAACTGTGGAACCACAACTTATTATTTAGAGAAAAAATACAACATACTTAACCTAACACAAAATCCAAATCAATCAAATAATAATAAATGGCAATGTTCGGAGTCCCCAATATGACAAACTTCTATTCCTTCAGGCATGCCGTGCAAGTATCACTCATGTGTTGTTTGCATGCAAACCTTCTACATTGCGAACAAATTTTACGTGTTGATTTATCACGTTGTCTAGGGCAAATATGACAACGTCCAACAGTGGTTTTTGGTTGATTAGAGGGGGAAGGTGATACCTCCCTAACATTTAGGGTAGCTCGTACCCGTCGCCTCATATCCACTGGCAGTGACGGGATGGTTGACCGAAATTCTATCTGGGGTCGGATCAGATCCCATGCACAAGTTTGTAAAAAGTCGGACCGTGCGATTCTTTTTTGTGGCGGGTGATTTGCCTTATAGACGCACAATGCGTTTATGCCAGATATATGTTGATCAAGTTGTAAAATACCACCATTGGCCAACGACGTGTATTTCTTGCAACATTGTACTTCTGGCATAACTGGTCTACCAGGTCAACACCAATTTTTGTGTGATTATAATCGGCTATGATTACTGGTTTTTTGTCATCACCCGTTTCCTCATCTTTTGCATCATCAAAGTGCATGGACGATAACAAAATCACAGATCTATTTTTTTTTGGGCAGTACGATACCATGGTACAGTCCTTCTGAAAACCAAACAAGGACGATTTCTCTGGTCGATTCTTATTCGGCAGGAATTGTGGAGGGATCTCCCTCTTATTTTTTCGCATAGTTCCGATGTAGGTTAGCTTTTTTTCTTGTAACAGTTTTTTAACCAATGATAAACTGGTAAACCAGTTATCGCCCGTGATATTGCGATTGGTCCCTGCCACTGGATTTACTAATCTGATTACAATGTCTTCGGAGGAATTACTGAGCTTATATGGACCCTCTGGTTGTGTTCCAACGTAGGTTTCCAAGTTGAATGTGTATGATGTCTTTGAATCACACAGCGCAAATGTCTTGATGCCATATTTGGCCGGCTTTGATGGAATGAACTGCTTGAATCCACAGCGTCCTCTAAAAGCTAACAACTGCTCGTCAACAGTGAGGTACTCACTGGCAATAAAATTGTTTTGAAAATTCACCAAGAATGTTTCAAATAGTTCTCGAATGGGCGCCAACTTATCTATTTCCTTTCTTTCATCTCTTGTTCTTATGTCATCAAACCGCAAACACCTTATCAGAAATCTAAATCTCTTTTCACTCATCGCTAGATAGCAAGCTTCCACTCCACTTCCTTTAGAGTTATCCCAAATATTTTTCAGGTTTTTCCGTGAACTTCTGAGGGTTCCAATCAGAATGAGAATTCCAATGAAAGCTGTAATTTCTCTCTCATCAGTTTGCCTGGCATCTCTGAACCGTTGAAACTTACTTTTGACTTTCATGATATATATGTTGGTAGAAATAGTTATAATTCTTATCACCGTGTCATTTATAAATAGTTTTAGGCAATCAGTTTCACTCCTGGCATTTCGCGCACTACCTTTTGTTCCGGGCAACAATTTTATTATGTTCTGAGACCGAGTACGCACTTGAGTGTTGGATCTACCCTTCTTCCACTTCGTAACTTTGTCTTTTCCCCAGTAAAATGTATCAGCTTCTCCTTCATCGGTTTCTTCTTCCCAATCAGGCTCATCTTGATCTACCTCCGGTATTTCTTGTTCAGACTCTGTCTCATGATGGTCACTTTCCACACACACATCCTCTTCTTTTTCATCCGAGTCTTCCTCATCGAGTGGGCTTTCCTCCCCACTTGATATTTCGTTGAACCATTGCATCCATACTTCAGGATCCCTGCTTGTCTGTACACACCTTCTTTTCGGGTCGGACATTCTGTTTTTATAGATTTCCCTGTAATTCATTGAATAACTGTATGCATATTTACAATTGAAACAGTAACACTTACCTCAAATCAATGAAAACTAGTAAAATCCAAGGTTTGCCTAGCCGAGAAAATATTACGTGATTAGGCGGGCGGGCTACAATTGTAGACCAGCCGATTTTAGGCGCGAAAAACAACAACGACAATACGCCTCAAGCACGCGCATCATACTGATCAAGTGGAGCAAAACAAATAGAACAGCTACTAGCGGGGGCGCTCGCATCTGCATATTTTCTTTGCGTTTCATCACCATTCGAATATCGGTGGGCTACAATCGTAGCCCGCGCGCCTAACGAAGGGTTAATGAAGCATAATAAGTAAATGATAAAAATTTCCAAATGATTGCACTGCTTTAAAGCCCTTTGACCTTTAATAATGTGTGGATGCACCCTGATGTGCTACGCATTCTCCAACGCGCCTAGGCATGCTTCTGATCAGGTGGTCAATGTCCTCCTGTGGTATCTCATTCCAGGCAACCACCAACTCCTCTCGAAGTGCTTCTAGAGTCTGAGGAGGACGTTGCAAATTGAGCAATCTCCTACCCATCAAATCCCACACGTGCTCAATTGGGGATAAGTCGGGAGATCTTGGTGGCCATGGTAACAATGTAACATCATTATGTTGAAAGAAGTCTATTGTGACTCTTGCAACATGTGGTCGGGCATTATCTTGTTGGAAAGTTGGATCTGCCAGGGTGTCAAGATAGGGTAAAAGATGGGGTTCTAGAACTTCGTGGATATAACGCTGCGCGTTCATGTTACCTCTGATGAAGATTAAAGGTGACCTGGAACCATAAGCTATAGCACCCCAAACCATAACTCCAACAGTGTGATGAACATGTCTTTCAACAAAAAACTGTGGATTCCTCCTTTCACCACGTCAACAACAAAATCGAGACTCGTCACTAAAGACAATACTGTTCCATTTCTGATCCCAGAGTGACCGTTGTCTGCACGACTCAAGGCGATTACGTCGGTGTTCTCGAGTTAAAGGGAGGACCCAGTGTGGCCGGTATGAAAACATTCGTCGGTAAACACTTCGCATGCCAATAGGTCTTCCGTGTTCTGCAAACCATTCATTTGCAATGGACCTGGTAGTGGAGAAACGGCCCTTACGAACGGCCTTCTCGAAACCATGCCTGACAACACCTAACCACAGTGTCTACACTTCTTTGCACTCTAACTGCAATTGCCCGAAAAGAAAGTCCAGCTTCCCAAAGTCCCACTATACGGCCCCTATAAAACTCACTAAGTTGACGAAATCGTACAGGTCTCCGTACTCTAGGCATCGTAACCGATCGTAAAGGATGTCAAGAACCAAAATCCGCCAACGTTGATTCTTTACTGCGGCTGAAATATTCATTTTTAGAGCATTAGTGAATTAAAAAAAAGCAGTATTAAAACCGGAATGTCCAACTGATAAGGCTGAAAATTTTTTCACTTGTTATTTACAGTAAGATAAATACATTCACCAACTTTTATTAAAATAAAACCATTTAAACTGGGTGTTCGGATTTATATGTCACTTAGTATATATTGAAATAAGACAGCTCATAGTGAAATCTATTACCAAAATCGACCACTGCAAGAGTGAAAACATCGAGCTGTCTGTTGGAACTGTAGCTCAGTTCACATTACAAAAATTGACAGTATTGATTATACAAAGGGTACTATAAAAGTTTTGCAGTACAGCTTTATGTATTGACGTCGTTCAAAATAATTTACACCACATTCGATACACTTCTCCATCCGCCAAACCAGTCCTTAAACCAGCTCTGCCAAGTTCCACCCGTTCCACCGTTTTCCTTTTAGCGTCATTTTCACATGCGGAAACAGTGTAAAGTCGCAGGGAGCAACATCTGGACAACAAGTTTCAGTCCAGCAGTAGTCAAATACTCGGTGCAGGTTTTTGCGCGGTGAACTGGAGCGTTGTCATGGTGGAGGTGTCAAATGTCCATTCTTGATTTTAGCTGCAGGTTTTTCATACACTCTTTGACTTTAGGCAGGCACTCTTCCATGTACCACTTAGCAGTGACTGTCTTCTGTGTGTCCAAAACGACACGCTGCACAATCCCGCGCGATTTGAAAAATACAGCTTATCATTTTTTTCTTGACAGATCGGGATTTGCTGACAGCTACGGGTGTCCTCATCAAAGACCCAAACTGTGTTTTGAGCCTTCTCGTCACCTGTCACGATGCTGTTCTCATACCGAGATTGCCCCTTATCAAACATTTTCAGCAACTTTCGGCACCAACTCGTACGACGAGTCTTCTGCTCTTCCGTCAGACTATGCGGTACCCATGAACAAAGTTTCCTTACATGGTCATGCAGAACTGAAAGAATTGCTGGTGCATGAAGGTGTAAGGTCTCCTCTGTCTATGTCACTATCCGGTCTTCGTCAAGCATTTTCCTCACCTCACACAGTAATTTTTTCTTCTGTTACTGTCGTTCGCGGCTTTCCTTCCTTCTCAGCGTCCTCCAGAGTGAAATTGCCCGTTTGGAATGCTTTATACCACCATATGGTATAACAGGAAGTGTTTTAGATTGGTTTAGAAATGATTTGTCTAAAAGGATGCAAGTTACAAAAGTTAATGACACTATTTCATCAAAAATTGAAAATACGTTGGGTGTTCCACAGGGCAGTATCCTGGGAGCACTTCTTTTTATTTTATGCATAAATGATTTACCTGCCATAGTAAAAAAATGCAAAATTCAGATTTTCGCCGATGACACTATGATTTATATAAGTACTAAAAATATTCAGTCTGGTATCTCTTATATAAATGAAGACTTGAAACTTGTCTCAAAATGGTTAGCATCTAACAGACTAAAATTAAATACAAGTAAAACGAAAGCCTTGTTAAAACAATGTACAAATGTTCAACTGAAGATATTGAATTCGTCGAAAATTTTAAATACCTGGGGGTTTTTGTTGACTCTCGATTAATTTTTGATATTCATTATGAAAAAGTTATAAATAAGATTAGTAGTAAAGTGGGATATTTATCGAGAGTTTCTGGATGTCTGTGTTCATATAGCAAAAAAATTATCTATAATACCATCATTCTTCTAAATTTCTCGTACTGTTCGACTATTCTATATTTAGCAAATAATTCCATTTTTGAATGACTGCAAATTTTACAAAATAAGTGCATGAGAATAATTACTAAATAAAGATAAATATACTCCAATTAGGCAAATGCTTAGCAAATTAAAATGGCTCAGTGTAAAAAATTTATAAAGTAAAAAATAATATATTTCCATCAAGTCTAACTAATTTAACATCATCAAATGTCGACCATCATTTACATAATACCAGAAATAAAGATGACTTCCATTTAATGACCAAAAAGTATAACATATGCTACAAATCTGTATTCCATCAAGGGTTGATTGAATATAATAAATTATACTCAGAGATAAAAGACCAGAAAACTTTGACAAAATTTAAAGTAAAATTGAGAAATCACTTGTTAAATCTACAATTATAGGTTGCCCAGCATTTACATCATACACCATATGGCTTGAATTTACTAGTTCTAAGTTGTTTACAATTATTCTGTTTATGTAGCCAAATGTGCTAAATAAATCTTTCTACTACTACTACTACTACTACTACTACTACTACTACCTTAATATAGTCGTGCACTGGTCTATGATTAAACCACGCGTAAAGTTATACCGTAAAACAGCCTTTATCTCACTACGTGACCACGATGCCATAGTTCCACACTTTACATTGTCAATACGAATAAACAACTAAACCAACAGGCGTACTGTTGGCGGCTACTATGCACATGCACTCATGGACATGTCTCAACATGCAGCCTCCTGCGTCCGTTTCTTAAGTCATATTACAAAACTTTTATAGTGCCCGTTGTACTAGACAGATATGCAGTATTGAAAAATTAAGTACTCACATCCTCTTTAGGTGTAAATCGCACATACCTAATTTTAATTTCTATGTTTAGCTACCGTCAGCACGTATCTTCGGATTTCGTGGCGCAAGAGTTGGCGTTTCATTCTACCCAGGAGTGTCTAGACTACCTCGAGCCGTTTTCGTTGCCGTTCGCCGACATTGCAAGGACGCTCATTGATTGCAAAGGCAGCATGGCTGCCCTTCCAAACATATGAACAAGTCGATTCTCTCTCCCTATTATAAGTTTATATATCTATGTATATAGTAATTTTGGCTGTGCGTATGTCTGTTGAAGATACTCAAGACAGTCTGAGGAGGGACGAATTTCTTCTATGGTAGCTGTGTCTTCGTTGCTGTCGGGGTTTTCCAAGATCTGAGGGTTGTACTTACCTTCAAGTGATAGCAGTTTCTTATTGATGTCAGTTGGAGATTTCAAAGATTTAAGGGTCGTATCTACCCTGTATGCTGCTTTCATTACTATGTGATGGCGTGATTTTTTCCACCCTATGGGTTATCGATTTTTCCAAGGAGTATGAGCTGTTTATTGGATAGAAGCAGAGGAAGCCGGATCTGTAAGCTGTTGAATATCGAGATTTTTCATTGTCTGTTGTTATATTATTATGCTGATACTATTATGTATGGATTTTTTATACTTATGATTTTCAGTAGATTGATTTAAGTCAATAAATTTATCTTTTTTAAGCTAGTGTTTTTTTTGCAAGAATGTTATTATGAAATAGTTGCATATGTGACCACTATTAGGTAAGCACTAAAGTGGCTTTGATTTGCTTATTCTTGATGATAGATAATTACTTACGGGATACAACATTGTTAAGCTAGCTAAAATTGATTATAAAAGAAATATACTAAATAAACTACTAAGAATATTCATAAAATTATGTTTAGAAGCAACAATGATAGTGGAGTACAAAATATTCTAAATTAATTATCCTCAAAAAAAAATCATTCAAGGAGTAAAATTCCTTAGAGATTAAATTATTAACGATAATCTTTTTAACTTTGGTTTCCGGTAAATTACGCACATTAAAAATGAAAACTATTTAAAAAATGTATAGTATATGGAGCATTTTTCTGTATAAAACTAAAGTTAGACTTATATGGGATAAAATCTTTTATGTCCAGTCATGTGATTATGTTTATTTTAGCATCCTCAAACAGATGTCTGTTTTTAAAAACAAATATAAAAGTCCAATCTATAAAGGGAAAAAACAATTTTTTTACTGATGATTCCTATGCGATTTTAAATAGTAGTCTAATCAGATTAGACGAAAATACCCCTGGTTTGCGAAATAATTGTAAAGTTTGATTTTATTGCTACAAGTTGTTCAAGGGGGTATTTAAAACATGGTCGCATAAAATGGGTACACCAATTTTTGTATGAAAACTTTTTATTCAACAACAAAGAATGAGAAAACGTGTTTTCTGGGATTCAATCGAAAGTGCTAGCAGGAACGAATAAACTCTTCATAACAGATTTTTTAGGTATTTATGAGACCTACAAGATGAGTCCACACGTGAAAAGATCCGACTAATAGCAAAAAAAAGTTATGGCCGAAAACCGAAGCAAATTGGAGGTTTTGGCACTTATTGGTAATGCAACGATGAGATCTCGCAGATACTTCAAATTCGTAGGATTCGTACTTCTAAATAACCACAACAAAATTGGAGTAGATTTCGAGAATTTCTAATTGTTTATACCAAAACACCTAGTTTTCCGGCTATCACTACTAGTTTATTAAGCAATATACAGGGTTAGTTCAAAGGGCATTTTATAGCTTAATACACTAGTTTACAGTGCCGATATGAATCGCAAACCATTCCGGAAGATAAATTTTATTTTTGTGCAAAAAGACACATCCGCTTTGTTTTAAAATGTGTATAGTATGTTTGAATTAGTTTAGAAAAAAAAAAACGTAACCTTTGTTTTTCGCATAAAAATAACATTTATCTTTCGGAATGGTTTGATTCGTAACTGCAAGGTAAACACGTGCATTTTGCTAATAAATGCTCTTTGAGCGAACCCTGTATATTGCTCAATAAACTATCGGTATTAAAAATAGATCCAGAATCCAATCTAAAAAATAATCTGATTTTTGAGCCGTTTTCTTTATTTTTTCCCGTGTATTAAAATTATTGTTTAATATAAAAAATACGTAAAGTTAACGAACCAAAAACTGGGGCAGCATATTTAATATATGCTGCCCCAGTAATAATGTAATGAACCTTATAGCATCTTGAAAGTAATGAAGAGATGAAAGAAACAGTGAAAATAAATGGTACATCAATTGATTTTAAAATCTACACGATACTGGCGATAACGCATCATAGGTTTTGCAGGTAGTTGTAGGGTGCCCTGACAGTTGTTTTATCATTCCCTAGGTTCGTTGGATAAATTATAGTAGTGATGGTCGAAAAACAGGTGTTTTGGGATAAACAATTCTCAAAAACTACTTGACCTATAATATACTCCAATTTTGTTGTTACGAGGGTGGTCCCACTAGTACCCGGGCTGACTTAGAGATGCGATAGTTGTTTAAAAAATATCATTGTATTAGGAAGTATGCAACCTATAAAGCATATGTGTCAAGTTTGAAGACGCCACGTTGTTTAGTATTTGTTTGGCAGCCATCAATACTGAACGTTTTCAGTAAATTTGTGAAAATGGAGAAAATTGGCCATCGTTATGTGGTTTATTTCAAAGGCCCAACCAATATAAAAGCTGAACTGGGTACTACTCTGGGTGAGTCTGCTCCTTCGTTTACAACAGTAAAATATTGGGTAGCAGAGTTTAAACGAGGCCGTATGAGATGCCAAGACGAGCATCGCAGTGGTCGACCAAATGTGGTGACGACTCCAGAAATGGTGAAGAAAATTCACAAAGCGGGACTGAACGCGGTTGATCGCGTATTATCTGAAAATTTGAACATGAGAAAGCTGTGTGCAAGATGGGTGCCGCGATTGCTCACAATCAAACAAAAAGTGTCGTGAAGATGTTTCAGTTGACAACAAAGCAGAATTTTTGCGTCGTTTCATAACCATGGATGAAACATGGGTCCATCACTTCACACCTGAGACAAAAGAACAATCAAAACAATGGACTCAAAAGGGACAACCGGCTCCAAAGAAGGCGAAGACCGTTGCATCTGCAGGCAACTCTATGGCGTCGGTTTTTTGGGATGCGCGTGGGATAATTTTCATTGACTATCTTGAAAACCTAAAACTATCAACGGCGAGTATTAAAAACGGCCGTATTTGGTTAAGAAGAAAGTTTTGTTTCATCAAGACAATGCACCAGCTCACAAATCCGTTATTGCAATGGCCAAAATTAACCAATTAAAGCTTGAATTGCTACCTCATGCACCCTATTCACCAGATTTAGCCCCCTCGGATTATTTTCTGTTTACAAACTTGAAAAAATGGCTCAGTGGTCAAAGATTTTCCAACGATGAAGAAGTGATGTCGGCAGTTAATGGCTATTTTGAGGAGCAAGACACTTCTTATTATAAAAATAGTATCGAACTTATTGAACATCGCTGGTAAAAGTGTATAGAGCTCAAAGGAGATTGTTGAAAAATAAATACATTTTTTTACAAAAAAATCGTGTTTTCTTCGTTGGGTCGGGTAATTCTGGGACTACCCTCGTATTTAGAAGTATGAATCCTACGGATTTGAAGAATTTCAAGTAGTTGCGTGAAATTATCGTTGCATTACCAACAAGTGCCGAAATCTGCATTTTGCCTTGCTTTTCGGCCATAACATTTTTGCTATTAGTCGGATATTTTTACGTGTCTCATTTTGTAGGTCTCATAAATACCTAAAAATCTTATTTGAAGAGTTTTTTCGTTCCTGTCAACGCTTTCAATTAAATCTCAAAAAACACGTTTTCTCATTCTTTGTTGTCGAATAAAAAGTTTTCCCACAAAAATTGGTGTACCCGTTTGATGCGTACATGTTTTAAATACTCTCTTGAACAACTTGCACGAATAGTAATAGGCTTTACAATTATTTTGGGGAAATTTGCTAGTATGATTTGCGGGGTAAAGGATTTGCATTACTGTTGACAAGGGAAGGTAAATTGTAAAAAATCTGTTTAGTAAACAACAACGAGTAAGAAAAAATGGGCGCTGGCTGAATTCGAGCCCAGCCAGCTGCCAACCGTTTTTCAATTTCGAATTCCGCTGGTGCCCATTTTTTCTTTCTCTCGGATTGTTTACTGAATATACTAGCTATTGGGGGTGCAATCATCCGAAAAGTCGCACGATGGTACCGTGGTAAGTGCCCCCGATGCGACGTGGTGCAACTAGTAAGCAATTGAAGATACTAATACGGTTTCTTTCACTTGAACGCCGCCATATGGGGCAACAACCCCTCCCGTTCGAGGTGTTCGTCAAATAAACTTGCGAGGTTAATTCCACCGGACTATATCCTGGATATTGGTACAAAAACAATTTCAACATATATATGCTTTAATGGAAGATAAGTATGTTATTTATACAATATAATATATTAATTTTAACGTCTTCTAACAATTTGAAAAGTGCTACCAAAATTGAGATGTTCTCGAATGATTTATTACTTCCAGATTTTTTAGGTCAAAAAGTATAAAAATATGTTCAGTGTTATGCAGATGTATACTTTGATAGCACTTTTTAATAATATGTATAGTATAAATTTAACAGAAAAACGAAATACACAAAAGTACTACCAAAAAAACAGTTGTAATTTGGCTGATCAGTTCATGATAAGGAATTTTAATTCATAACATTCCATTAGACGGAAAGAGACACAAAACTGTTATATTGCGTGATATTTCTCTTCAATATGTCTGCACACAGTCCTAGGACCCTCTCGAATCTGAAAATAGAAATATGTTTGTAATACAGAAGATACCACCAAATATTTTTTTCAATGGGCGTATTCAGGGAAGGCATACAGAGTGTCCGCAAAGTTAGGGTTTTCCTTTACACGACGTGTAGATTTTGAGAAAACAAGCGAATTTTAGCATATACGCCAGTGTTTTAAGAGAACCGAGCAAACTCAATCCAACCTGAACCAAACAGGAGCCGGTCCTGTCCTATCTCTCGATCACGTCCACAGCGCCAGCCTACAGTTATACGACGTACGACTACGATGTAAATGCGGATTTTACGACAGAGCCGTACTTGGAATTTCAATTCAACTGAACCGAGTACTTTTTCATTTATTTTTTTACTTGTTCGCTGATGTTTCACCATACATTAGCTTTGTTATATCAACCGCAGTTGTGTCTGAAATGGAAAACCCCAACTTTGCGGACACCCTGTATATGTCATACTTTATGTCACGGGTCATTTCAATCAAGTGGACACTATTATTAAAGCCCAGTTACTCAATCGCAGGTAAACTTTGAAGTTGGGTAGCTATAACTTGGAGTGTGCAATAAATTGTTGTGGCTAGCAAACCCATAATCTTTCATACTCTCCTTTTCCGATGGAACTATTGTGTTATGTGCATTTCATATTGCCCACCTCTATTTAACACAAGGGTATCAATTTATTATTTTGCGACTTGAATCTGGATGGATATTAAAATTAGCATGTTTATCAAGATTTTGTGTACAATTTTGAGGATTTTTAGGATTCCGGCATGGACTTTAAAATTTGCATATTTCGCATGATTTGCTACCCCTTTCTCTTCAAAAAATACATTTTTAAAAACAATATTTGTTAGCTTTTCATAAAATGGACTAACATTTAAAAAAAAATGTTTACCGGTTGGAAATATTTAAAGGATAATAAAGCTCTTTCATCTCAAGTTTTCAAATGAAAGCCTGATGCACCCCATTTCCAATCTGCCTTCAAAACGTAACAAGCTTTTATTTGTAAACTGGTGATGAAGGATCCGCATTATCGTTTAAATATTTATAATCGGAAAAAGTACTTTTAAAGGTTTAGTTCATTTTATGAACAGCTAAATAAAAGCTTGTTTTATTTATTTTTTGCCTTTTAGTAATTATAATGATAATATTAATAATAAATGTCTATTAATGCACATACATCAGTGAGGCGAAGTTTAGCCAAAGGGCTACTTTTACACTTAGCCTCATTTATGATGTCAAATAATAAGTTTGGTAATTTCTATATAACTTTGATATGTTTTATTAATAGGGCTCCATAAAAATTCTTACGTTATTTTTATTATTAAATTTTATATCGAATTTATTTATTTGCTTATCCAGTTCCTCCCATTAAGCCCTTTCATTTCATATCTATATGATAACGGGGACCATGGAAATTATAATGACGTCACTTTCCTTATTATGGTTCCCTCGCCAAGCCCTTTCATTTGATACTCATAAGGTCAACTATAAAAAATCTAAATTTTCTCGATAACATTAACATGTTTATAAGTAGAGCTCCATATAAGAGAGGCATATTCAAGTTTTGAACCTTATCAAACTAGAAAAATAAATATCTCAATGTACAGACATTTTCAAAGTTACTACAGTTTCTTATTATAAAGCCACACGTTTCAAATGCACTAGAAATGATTTGGTTAATATGATCATTGAAGGTGAGTTGCTGGTCAAAGTTAGACACCCAAAGCTCTCACAGTCTCACAACGCTCAAATACACAATCCTCAATTGCGTAGTTATACAGTATAGGATTAGTCTCTCTAGAAAAAGTGTGTACCTTAACATTTACGAATATTCAGAAAAATGTTATTTCTTGTAGCAGCAAATCCTCTATCGAGGAAAATCAACTTAAGATATGTTGAAGAATGACGTCACTTAGCTTATTTTGTTTCTCTCATCAAGCCCTTTTATTTAATACCCATGTCGTAGAGGTGGCTATGCAATGTGTAATTCGTCACTTTTCGGTGGCCGCCATATTGGGTATAAAATAACTTCACTGTGCTTATTATGTCTCCCTCATAAAGCCCTTTAGGTTGATACTCATAGTATAAGAACGACCGTAAAAAATGTAAATCGACAAGATGCGGCAGCCGAAATATTGGATATGGAGTGACGCATTTTGCTTATTGCGTTTCTCTCATCAAGCCCTTTCATTTGATACCCACATCTTAGGGGTTACTATGGAAGTGATGAATCCCCATTTTGTAGCACCCGCCATATTGGATTCAAAATAGCGTCTCAGTTAATTTTGCATTGTCAAGCAAACCAAAGGTGAACACAAAATTTCAGCTCAATCGGTTCAAGTTTACTCACCTGGCTCTATCCAACTTGACACACTTGAGCGGCCCGCTGGCGACGACGGTAGCCGCGCGTGGTCTGTCCAGTAAGAGCGCTATTTCTCCGAAATAGTCGCTGGGTCCCAAACGGCCCACTTCGGCCGGCTGTTCTTCACCTTCGCGGCTCTGTTTCACCACCGCCGTGCCTTCCACGATTATGTAGAAGTCGTCACCCGGCTCTCCTTGCCGGACGATCGTTTCACCGTCTTCGAACGAGACTGGCTCCAAAGCATCCGCCACCTATTCAAAAAAAAAAAAACACTGAAGCCTCACAATCTTTAACATAATCCATGACCTTGAGCTTTCTTGTCGATGTACTGGTAACTCGCTGTACGTTCCAGCGTGATAGGAGACCTCAAATGCAACTCCATGTACAATGCTTTACAACCCCCCTCCCTCCCCTCCACATATTTTTCGAATGGGCCAATTTAACAGGCTAAAAGTGCCCAAAGCGTGGTGGACCGTGGTGAATGCCTAAGAGACCGCGTGGTGTAACTAAAAAGCGAATCCTGTTTGTTTCACTTGAACGCCGCCAGATGGGGCATTAAGCAGCTTGAAAGTCAACCGATCCTGAAAGTTGGTCGACAACTAGTGCTGTTGACTAATTTTTTAGGTCGACACCACGGAATGGAGGAGATGCCGGTTCGAATCCTACCGGCGCCCATTTTTCGTTTTTCTCAAGTTGTTTACTAAACATACTGGCTTTTGCGAATGCGCTCATTCAAAACATCGTTAAACAGGTCATTGTCCTCGCACAGTGGTACCGTGGTAAGTGCCCACGAGATGGCGGCTAGGCGGAAAATTTCTTTTATATAGGGTGAGTGGTCATCTGATACCTCATTTTGAAGCTCTTTATCTGTACTCTATAACATCAGATTATAAATTCAATATTCTTCTAAATTAACGGGGAGTTTTTGTACATATTATTACGACTAATAACTAAACAACTGTCATAACATACAACAAGTACATTTTGCTGTATACAACGCTGTATACACTTCTGTTAACAAGTATTACTAGAAATAAACTGAATTCAAACATAATATCAATTGTATACAGGGTGACAGGTAAATAGGTGTAAAACATTTTAGGAGGTGATAGTACAGCTCCTTTGCTATCAAAATTAGTATATAATACCATACCCTATATTCAAAGGTTAAAAAGTTTTAAAGATTTAAGATTTAAATTTTTTTTAAAAACAACCCAGATTACAGAGTAAAATAGTTGAGATAAAAAAAAGTTGGTGATTAAACATTCTTTTTTTGGTGGTTTCAGGTTATTATTTAAATAAATAATTCTCATAAATTAGAAAACATATGAAAACACTACTGAAAACGTATTTATTTTCATTTAAATGTTAAATGAAAATTTTTATTTTCAACTTTCACATTAAGAAGTCTTTTTTTTCAAAAACATTATAATAAAGAAAATGTACAAATAACTGCAAAAACTTCCTCGTTTCATTAGGTTTCTAAAATGGTATAATAACATATCAGTAAGTAAACCATTTAACAAAACAATATTACTTTGCTAGAAAGGACGGCTAAGCGCATTTCATTGTACTGAGCAGGTAAACCGGGCCTTTCATGGTTCGACCCTTTTTGTTATTTTTTGTGCCCTGTGCCGTTATTCGGGTTTAAGTATTCGGAATCTGTCGTCGCTCCTCGGAAGCAAGCTCTGCGTGTGTTATGAATTGACACAGCTGACGGATCCAGGAAAGGGAACTAACGCTTAGGTTAGTTAGTAGAATATCAACCTTTAACGCGGTAGGACGTACTTTTACTTGTTTGATCAGTTTTAATAATGGCGAGTTACCGTAACGAAGAATACGCTGATATTCTGTTTTGTTATGGTTTAAGTGATGGAAATTCCGTTGAAGCCAGGCGAGAATACGAAAACCGTTTTCCGAATCGGCGAATACCGAGTCATCGAGTATTTGCTTCTGTGTACCAACGCGTCAAGGAAAGTGGACAGGTTCATGAGAGACGTCATGATGCTGGTAGACCTCGGTTGTTTGACGACGAAGATCGAGAGGCAATACCGGAATGCTACGGCAGAGACCCGACGACGTCTAGACGAGTTATAGCAAAGCAGCTTGGTTTAACTCAGTGGAAAGTTTGGTTCGTTTTGCATTCGGCGAGACTTTACCCTTTCCAGTACACACCGGTTCAAGTATTAGAAGAAGGAGATCCCGTAAGAAGAATTGATTTTTGTCGATACATGCTTCATCGGGATCAAGAAGAAAACGACTATTTAACTAAAATATTGTGGACCGACGAGTCTAAGTTTGACAGAGAGGGGACAACAAATTATCACAACTTACATTATTGGGCCCCACGAGAGGCAAATCCCCACATGGCAAAGCCAAGAGCCCATCAAAGAAGATTTTCGGCAAACGTGTGGATGGGAATCATTCATACGTATCTAATTGGACCAGTTTTTTTGCCTGACAACCTGAATGGCGAATCCTATGAAAGCTTTTTGAGATCCGAACTCTGGGAGTATCTAGAAGACCTGCCTCTCACGATGGCTGTCCCGCGCATTTCCGTCTGGGTATTAGACAGTGGCTGGACGAGAAATATCCTTGTCGCTGGATTGGCCGAGGTGGACCGACACCGTGGCCAGCGAGGAGCCCAGATTTAACACCGTGTGACTATTGTTTATGGGGGCACATGAAGGCACTAGTGTACGCTGAGCCATAGACACTCTTGCACAGTTGAAAGAAAGAATTATTGACACTATCAGAGGACAACTAACTGGCCGCATCACGCGTACCAACATAAGAAAAAGACTACGGGCTTGCATAAGAAACGACGGGCGTCAGTTCGAACAACACTTGCAATGAATTTTACCTTCATTTCATTATTGTATTTTACTTACCAATTGTAGTAAGTTTTAGTCAGTTTTTATTATTCTGTAGTACAATTACAACTGTGTAAATAATCTAATCGTGTAACTTAACCGTAGTTTAAAATACTAACTATCCCATAGCTTACAGTTACATTATTTTCACAAAAACACTTTCTTATCAATCAGAGAGTTGTGAAAATAGGAGACAAGCCGTTGGTAAATTTACTCCCTATTGTTGTATTACAATACATTATGTTTAGTTTCACACAGTTTTTGTGCACTTATCATACCAATTTAGATTCCTTATGAAACAAGGATTTGTTTTTCTTAGTTAAACATTTACGAATGAAAATAAATACGTTGTTAGCTATTGTTTTCGAATCTTTTTTAATTTATAATAGTTAATTATTGAAATAATAACCCAAAAACACAAAAAACAAATGTTTAATCACCAACTTTTTTCTCTCTCGATTTTTTTTTTTTAAAATCTTAAATCTTCAATAACTTTTCAACCTTTGAATATAGGGTATGGTATTATATACTAATTTCGATAGCAAAGGGGCTGTACTATCACCTCCTAAAATTTTTTACACCTATTTACCTGTCACCCTGTATAATTAATAAAAAAATCGCGAAAGCGATAAGATGATATGCTCATTTTCAATGGGAAAGTTCATAACCGATGATGGATATTTAGTGTTAAGCAAGGATATATTTACCGTTAACCGCTCCCATTTATCCAGATTCTCCAGAATGGACACTCTAGACAGGAACTCCTCGTACATTTTCCTTTTCCTGATGGTAGAACCCATCAATATGCGTCTGTAGGAGTCCCTGTCGATACCCCACAGCTTCACGTCCGTCTTGGCCTTGACAGTGGCAGCTCTCGGAGTGCCGTAAATCAGCGCTAGTTCACCGAAACTGCTGCCCTCGCCTATCGTTGTTACTAACTCATTATTTACATATACCTGAAAAGACACCACTTGGCATTACAGTCCAATCTTTGGGAGATCAAAAAAAGGTTACTTGGTGAGTTTAGAAGTTTTTGAAAGTTGATATACAGGGTGTCCCAGAAGTCGACGTCAAGCCGAAACCGGGTGATAGGCAAAGTCATAACAGCTATCAGAAAAATATTTAAAAAAATTTTATGTATGTGTTTTGAAAATTATAGGTCTTTGAAAAAATATAGAAATTTCACACCCTACGGCAGTCTGTCAACTCCTGTTACTACAAATATTAACTTTTTTTGGATTTTATTTTTACAATGTAATGATGAATAATGAATGCATCTTCAAACTGGTGTCTCAACCTTACTGCCAACTTTTCTCGTTCAGGAAAAATTGCCACTTATTTCCCAACCAAGTATTCCAAAGTAAAACTTTGCTCAACTTTAACTGGCTGTACTGGAAAAAAATGTACTACGAGAGTTTGGCAAGTAACCTTAAAAGTTGGCGCATTTAATAAGGATTCCAAAATGGTATAATACTTAGAAGATTACTCGTTAACTTATGCACAATTTTTATTTGAAAAAAAACTTATGAAAATTTTCCAAAATTTCCTAATTAAACAGCGATTATGAAAACGCACAAGGACCCTTAAGGATAAATGTTTGCACAACAGTGGGCGTCAAAATGCTGCTGATGATGATTTACCTTTACAGCAAATGCTCAAACTGTTTTCCTTCAGCAGCAAAACACGCTCGACATCTTCTTAAAAAAGATCGGGTTATTAAACGAGCGAATCCACGGTTATTAACAAACTCCGCAATAAAAACCGCTTCCAATAGTCTTTGCCGTAGCTCAGCTACATTTTGAATCGGCTTGAAATACACTGTTTCTTTTACAGTTAACCAGTAAAAAAAATCTAACGGATTCAAATCTGGTGATCGGGCTGGCCACGGTATTGACAGTTTTGATCGAGATACTCTCTCACTGAGAGTGCATAGTGCGCTGGGCAGCCATCATGCTGAAACCACATGACCCTGTAAATACTCAGTGGCACGTGCTCCAATAAATTTTCTAAATGATTTTTCAAAAAACCTAAATAAACCTCAGCAGTCAAAGTCTCTGGGAACTCAAACGGACCGATTATTTTACCATTTAAAATTCCTGTCCAATGGTTTATCTTGAAGTGATATTGAGATTTATCTTCTCTCATCAAATGTGGGTTTGCTACGTGCCACTCGTGTTCTAACATTGAGCGACAAAAAGCAACTCGGGGCTCATAATCCCGGAGCAGAAGAGCTTGAACACGCTGTACGTGGTATGGATGGAGCACGTTTTTTTGCAAGATTCTATGGGCTGTACTTTTGGGCACACCTGTTTTTAGTTCTATTGCACGCACTGAAGTACTCGGGTCTTCTTCGACAGCTCCTAGCACCACGTTATCGTAAGGAAGGAAAGATCTTCCCTCACAGTGTGATTGGTTTGGTAGTTGGCCCTCTGAGAACAGTAAGCGGTGCACATTTGTAAACACTCGATGATCTGGATGACGAGCTGCATTCGGGTACCTCTCACAGTAAAGTCTCGCTGCAGCACTAGCGTTGCATCTGCATTCCCCATAAATAAGGTGCATGTTAGCATATTCTTGTACGGTGTACGCGGACATAGCGGCACTGCACAATCACACTATCAAAGATAGTCTAAGGAAAGCAAATGTTGTTTTGAAGAGCAATTAAACAGTCCAAATCCAAATCACAAGCGATCAACAGTCCAGTTCACGAATCCAAAATTAGTAACAGTACGAAATCAACAAGCACGAACATGTAAAGATGCGCAGTAAACGAAGGAGTACTGATCGGCATCAAAGTGTGCAATGGCAAATAAGTGATGTGCTTCATCCATACCACATACAGCGTGTTCAACCTCTCCTGCCCCGGGATTATGAGCCCCGAGTTGCTTTTTGTCGCACAATGTTAGAAAGACACAGGAAAGATCCACAGTTCTTTGAAAAAATTTTATGGCTGTATGAGACCACATTTAAGAAAGATGGGTACATGAACCTGCATAACTTACACGAGTGGCACGTAGCAAACCCACATTTGATGAGAGAAGATAAATCTCAATATCGCTTCAAGATAAACCATTGGACAGGAATTTTAAATGGTAAAATAATCGGTCCGTTTGAGTTCCCAGAGACTTTGACTGCTGAAGTTTATTTGGATTTTTTGAAAAATCATGTAAAAAATTTATTGGTGGACGTGCCACTGAGTATTTGTCGAGCCTGTATTGCGGCTGAAGGAAAATAGTTTGAGCATTTGCTGTAAAGGTAAATCATCATCAGCAGCATTTTGACGCCCACTGTTGTGCAAACAGTTATCCTTAAGGGTCCTTGTGCGTTTTCATAATCGCTGTTTAATTAGGAAATTTTGAAAAATTTTCATCAGTTTTTTTTCAAATAAAAATTGTAAATAAGTTAACGAGTAATCTTCTAAGTGTTATACCATTTTGGAATCGTTATTAAATGCGCCAACTTTTAAGGTTACTTGCCAAACTCTCGTAGTACATTTTTTTTCAGTACAGCCAGTTAAAGTTGAGCAAAGTTTTACTTTGGAATACTTGGTTGGGAAATAAGTGGCAATTTCTCCTGAACGAGAAAAGTTGGCAGTAAGGTTGAGACACCAGTCTGAAGATGCATTATTCATCATTACATTGTAAAAATAAAATCCAAAAAAAGTTAATATTTGTAGTAACAGGAGTTGACAGACTGCCGTAGGGTGTGAAATTTCTATATTTTTTTCAAAGACCTATAATTTTCAAAACACATACATAAAATTTTTTTAAATATTTTTCTGATAGCTGTTATGACTTTGCCTATCACCCGGTTTCGGCTTGACGTCGACTTCTGGGACACCCTGTATTTATAGGTTTAGATGTATTGCTGACCATTTTGGAAGTAAAATCTGAATCAATAAACTAATTTTCACTATCTCAAGATTGCCTCAAAGGTAACTGACAGCAATTTAAAATCTTTATTCCCGTTAGCAACAAATAACTAAACTGGTATAACAATAAATACATTTCGCCCAGGATATCGGTGTTGATGAAAAGAATGCGGAAAAAATTCGGGTTGTTATTTGGTTGTTGCCACGTCTAATCTTCCGAATTGCTGTTTATGTTGGTAGTTTCCGTTTTAAATTATAAACGAATTGTAGATTTGGCAAACCCTAACCAGCAGCATTTTAAACACTTATTGTAATAAAAAAGCGATATTTTCCTGTGTTATTGTTTTCTATCTGATCAAATTAAGATGAAAGATTTTTCTAATTTTCTCGAAAACGAATCGACTGATTTAAAAAAATCAAACAGCAAAATAAAGGACTTCGAAAGACCTTTTAAACAAGTTATTACTCTGTACCGCTTGTCATTTAAAAATTTCAAGGGAATGACCCTGGGGGCCGAGGGTGAAAGCAGGTGAAGTAGTTTTTGGTTAAAAAGTTGTCGCCCTTGACAAATCTTTTGACATGTCTCGGCGTTTTGTCTTTTAATCAGTGGTTATCGATAAATCCGTGCTGGGAAGTTTTCAAATGAACACCCTGTATGTAATCAAGTAAACTAGAGGAAATTACCTCCAATTTATGTATTTAGCATTGTTTGTATGGCAGTTTCTGCCTAGTGTCAAATTTTACTCTAACACGAGTATACAGGAAACCGTTCGAGTAGTGGTCCCAAAATGGATCCCTGTGGTCCACCAGAAATGATATATTTAGATTACGATACTTCTTCTGCAATGGAAACTTTTTGTTTTCTACCAGTTAAGTAGCATCGAAATAAATTTAATGTTTGACCAAAATATCTCAGTTTAGCTAATAACGGTTGATGGTGTCAAACGCTTTTGAATGGTCCAAAAGTAGCTTTAGCATCCCCTTGAAAATATCGTCAGTTACGGGTAGTAGGGTTGAAGTTGTATGATGCGGACGTTGCACGGTTGAGGCTAAAAATAAAAACGCTTGCACTCTTACCTCCACTTCTCCTTGGTCAATTACATAGAAGTTATCTCCTTCATCTCCCTGCTGGATAATGGCCTCTCCAGGAAGACAGTTAACGGGAAACATTGCGTCGAAGATGTCCGACCGCTCATTCTCGTCCAAGTGGGAGAACAGGACATTCTTGGCGATTGCCTATAATAAAAATGGCGTCAAATACATTGACTCTGCAATTTCATTTCAATGGATGAGTGAGTTCTACCAAAGAGCCGTTCATGTCGGCTGGTCGGAGTCCAGATCACCGAGGACTTGATCTTTCACGAACACATCGTCAATACCAGCAGCTGCTGGGAAAAAGCTAGGCTATTTGTTTAGGGTTAAGAAGTACTTTTCTTCGCATGACCTCCTCACTCTGTACCAGGACCAGATAAGACCTAGCCTCGATGCCGGTGCGCGATGTGTCTGCCAGACTGACCGTCTTGACTCCGGTCTAACCGTGTCGAACTTCATACATCTAGAACTGGCCGATAAGACCGCTCGTTTGTCCATAGGGTATTGAGATTATGGAACAATCTACATGAGGAGGGTTTTCCTCCTAACCTTAGGCAGTTCAAAAATAGGATTAACAAAATTTCTCATAGCAGCCGCGGTGCCCTGGCATTTAGGCTTCTGCCTGCGTGGATCCTTCAATGTAAAAAAGAGGAAGTAGTGAAATTTTGAAGTTAAAACTCCGTTCTATCGCTGGATTTTCCTCACGTTTGTTTTGACGCGCAGTAGATGACGTTTGAATAAGGTTCAGTTCCACATACCTTAGACAAGGCCGCCATAGTCTTGTAATCTTTCGGCACCACCTTCTTGACATAGCTGGTGGCATCCTCCTCGGTGACCGGTTCTGCGGAAATGCCTCCGCGCCTGCGCGCCGGTTGCTGGGCGTGCGTCGGGGGCGGCATCGGGGACAAGTCCTCCGGCTCGTCAGGGGACGCCGCCCCGCCTCCCGCCCCGCAACCTACGCCCTGCTGCTGCCCGCTTTTCGAATCGCCGCGAGGCTGTTGCTGGAAATAAAAAATACATCGTTAATCCCTACTGTAATATAATATACAGGATGTCCTCAGAGTTGCGACTTTACTCGGCGTACAGATCTTAAAAGATATAGTCAACGCCAAACAAAGTGGCGTGCACGTCATCAAGGTGGGTGTGTTGAAAAATTTACATTGTTGCCAAACTTTTTGTAAAATAATAAAATTTATTATTTACATATCTAGGTTTATAAGCAATATTAACCTCAAATGAGAACAAAAATAATAGTATAATAAAATTATAGATCTGTACTTGCATAATCATTAAGTATGACAATTATTGATCAGATGACACTATGAAACTACCATATTTAATTGATAGCTTAACGGTACTGAATAAAAATCCAAATGGGGTCCTCCAAATTTTATGCATGGTATTTATTTTACAGAATTCATACAGAAAAATGCATTCTAAAATCAGGTAAGCTACTGGTGTAAGCTTTTTCTGTACAATAAAGTTAGTCGGAGTTTCTTTCTTCAGCGCTGTCTGAATCTGAATCTTCATCACTCTCAAAGTTGATTATTAAAGGTTCGATGTCTGGTCGATCAAAAATTCGTTCTCTTTCATACCATTTAAAAATTTCTTGCTCAGTATGTCGAACACTATTTTTCCACATGTCTGGGGTAACCGTTTGTAGAGCCTCGTTCCACATATCCAACAGTCTTTTTCACTGTTACCATCTCTACCAATATGTCTGTTATAGTAACCTTTTGCTATGCCCCAAATTAACTCAATAGGGTTAAATATACAATGGTAAGGAGGCAGACGAAGAACTTTGTGCCCATGTTGTTCCGCCAATTCATCAATCACGTATATTTTAGGTGGTTTGTTTCTAAAAAAGCAGTTATTTTAAGAATAGGAATAAACAAAAGAAATATAAACTGTCGACCAAAATATATATAATTAAGAAGCATTATGTACCGAGCAACAATACTCAATAGCTCTGTTTTAAACATTGTGTTTAAAAATGGTATGTTTTGATTTGTCAACCAGTCTTGGATATTTTTTTTTGTCCATGCATTGTTGGGCACTTTGTTCAATATCATGCTGTGATAAGGGGCGTTATCCAGTATAATCATAGATGGACTCTCCAATTTTTCTAATAACTGATGTTGAAACCATTTCAAAAAATTGTCCTGGTTCATCTCTCCATGGTAATCGCTCAATTTTGTTTTCGAAGAAAATATCGCTTCACTACCCTCAATAAACCCATTTTCATTTCCAGCATGTAATAAATATAATGTATCTAAAATATATTAGTTTTAAATTTTACAGTGCAAATTGTGTAAAAGAACATACCTTTTACCATCTGTTTTAATAGCTTTCACGCTTTTTTGGTTTCCATTTTGCCAAGAGCGACCTATGGTCCCATTTTGAAATATCAAAGTTTCATCGAGGAAGACAAACTGGTATAAGGCCTCAACCTTGGCTTGATTGTATTGCCTTAGAAATTCCACCCTTTTCAAAGCTATACTTGGTAGTTCCATGAGCCCTCGTCGCGGATTGTCCTTAAGCCACTTAAATCCAAGATCTCTAAGCAACCGCCTTAAAGACGTGGCACTACCATCAAATAATGCCCTATCTCTTAATCGAGACCATAAAGTTTGTATCGTAACTTGTTCTTCTGAAACCATGTGTAATATGACATTATAATTTAGTTAACAAATTAATGCAAATTTCTGATAAGTTATTATAATAAGATCTTACTTTTGTGATACATATTATAGATCACTTCTCGAATGGCACTTGTATCCAATGTCGCTGTGTTGGTTACACGTTTAATATAACTCCGCTTTTTCTTGGGCGATTCTAAATTTGCATCACTTTTCACACCCTCGGAAATACGACTAACTGTCCTTAAACTAATTTTTAAAGCAGCAGCAACACGCTACAAAAAATGAAATAAAATTTCACTATTATTAATATACATTACATATAATTATTAGTAACCTACCTCTTGAACAGCATTTAAAGGCAACAAAGGCCCGTTGTTGTCCCTTTCTTGCTCAAAGTAGTGCATTAACGAGGCCACGAGTTCCTTACACCGACTATTTAACTGTTTGGGCATCTTTATATACCAAAATTGCCTTTATCTACTCGTAAAATGAATAATTTTGTTTTGAAACAAACAGTTGTTGATTTACAGTATGCGGTTCCAAAGGATTTATAAAGATTTGAAATGCCACAAATTGATTCAGTGTCAAAATTAATACAAATGTCAGTTCCCAGTTTAAATAAGTTTCAAGGTGACAATGTGTCAACGCTGCGAAATCGGTTTAGTGCGTTTACATGTCGATAAGTGATTGGAGCGTTTGCAAAACATTTTATTTCGCATAATGCGTCTAAATTTATCAGAAAGCAACTTATGTGATATTTTAATAACAATGTTTATAGGACTATTAACCATAATAAGAGAGTAATGACCATTTTACAATTTATATATCACATTAATATGAAACTGCAATAGAGCAATTGTTTGTGATAGAAACCTAGGAATTAGGTCGGGGAATTTTTATCGTGATGACGTGCACGCCACTTTGTTTGGCGTTGACTATAAGCGGTTTTTCCTAGTAGCGTATACAGTGATTTTCTTTAATGTGCCCCTCTCCTTTGATTCTTTGAACGGATCAATTCAAAAAATTAAAACTATTATTATTAAAACCATATTCTAGAGTGAAGACAGATGAAAATGTCAAGATGGCCGCTGGGTGCCACCTTGGAAAAAAAATTATAGGAAAACGGAGGTCTTGTGGCACATCATTTTGAAGCTCCTAACGAGTACTTAATAACCCTAGAATATAAAGTCTCGTGAAAGTTACGCGTCGTACCATAAATAAAAATCGCTTCGATTTTTTGTTCCAATGGACGAGAATTGATCATTTTAAAAATAGTTCAAACAGTATTCAGCACTAAAACCGAAAACTAAGTAAGAATATTTTGATTGTACAATGATGTTTGTTTTCGTACCGATATTCTTGCCACTGTTAACAAAAAATAACAAAACAAGTTTTTATCACTTTTGCTGTGGATACGGCAGGGAATTACAATTATTTGTAGAGATATGCATGTTAGTGGGTTTGTGTTCAAGTAACTATTAAATGCACCACCATGTTGTCGTAGGTAAAGGTATTGACTTTATATTCTAGGGTTATACAGTACTCGTCAGGAGCTGCAAAATGATGTGCCACAAGACCCCCGTTTTCATATAATTTTTTTCCAAGATGGCGCCCAGCGGACATCTTGACATTTTCATCTGTCAATTTCACTCTAAAATATGGTATCCACGCATTAATTTCATTACCTCAAGTTTTAATTTTTTGAATTGATCCGTTCAAAAAATTAAAGGGGACATTAAAGGAAAGCACTGTATAGAAGCATATGCGTTTTAAGATCAGAGATATTAGGCTCTTCAAAATCAATCAAACCTAATCCGCTCCTGTATCTCGATCAGATCAAACAACGCACGTCAATACTCAACCCATAAGAGTAGGTAGACAAAACATTCATTTACCAATCAGTTCGAAAAGAAAAAACAAAATTGCACATTCGTACAGCAATATCGAACTTGTCGACATGATTTTAATTTATGGTGAGTGTCTTCAAAATGCTAACGAAGCTCCGCGAGTGTACGCAGATCGCTTTTCCATACGTTATCCTTCAGGGTCGAGTAAATTTGTTTAGCTTGTGCAAAGAGCTAAGGATACTCACCTCGCGAGAGATTTTTTGATAAACCTACAAAAACGATGAAGATAAAGGAACGTATACAGAAATAGACAAGGAAATCAGCTCATATAGCAATCTACCAGTGATCCCAAGATTTCACAATCCTGGATACTAAAGATTTATCTGCATCAGCGAAAAAGTTGTCTCGGAGCTGGGCAACATTTACGATGCCAAGCGAAGCAAATTGACTTCTGGCATGGGCAGAAGCTTAATCTTATAATATATCACAATCTTCATAAATTAGGCTTTAAGTACTAAAATATTTTTTAATCGTTCTTGAGGTTTCTGTCTTGTCCAAAACTGAATAGTGAATCTTGCTATCAAGTTTCGTTTTTCATGCATATGTAACAAAAAGATGTTATTTTGATGCAATTAATGAAAATAAATGTATATGTATTGTTTTTCAATTCAATAATATTGCCACGAGTGATCACAATGTAGCGCCACATAGGTCGATAGATATCCTAAACCGCATCGCTGAGAAATAAGCACATCGTCGGCAAATAATGCATAATCCGCAAAGATCCGACACGTCGGATATTCCTGCCCTGGGGTCACTCATGGCGAATCTCTCTTCGTGGGACTGGACCTTCCTGGTCCAAAAATTAAGCACCTCTTTCCTTTTATTGTAATTTTATTGCGCGGCGTTTTGTTATTACACTTAAAGGTTTTTTTGTGTTATGGTTTCAGCCTCCACACGTCAGAGTCGTGACAATATTAAAACGCTACCGAACTTATAACGGCAAAATAGGCCGAAACAGGGTTTTCCATTTAAAAAAGCTCAACTTTATTCGATTGCACTTTTCTGGACATCCTATGAACAAAAAACGCATCAACACTATTTATGCTCGATGAGGAAACCAAAGGGTTAACTACAAAAGAACTGCAACGATAGTGCTATTACAGCAGTACCACACAAGTATTTTACAACAAGAGTATTATAGAACAAAGTTAGAAATGATGCAGCGTCAGAAGCCACCTGTAACTTATGATGTTAACAAAATAAAACTTATTATAACTTATAAATACACACAAATCAGTAAAACTATTTATTATAATACTCAAGTTTCTTCTTATTTGTTGAGCTAGTTGGCGGAGAGGAAGTTCGTCATTCTCATGATTTCCTTCATCTTCATCTGGGTCTTGTTCAACTAAGCCAAAGTCAGGATCGCCCAAGCTTTTCGCAACATTATGGAGTACAATACATGCAATAATTATTTTCGGCACATTTTCCAACTTTACGCGGCAAACATACTGTAGGATAGGAAACCGGCGTTTCAGTTGGCCGAAACAGCGTTCAATTATAACTCTTTCTTGTTTTAAAAGCTTATTATAATTTATTTCTACACCTGGAGTGGGATTTCTGAAGGCATGGCTCAATACCGTAACCGTCATCGCCAAGTAGTACTACAACATTTGCTTTATTTATTAGTTGTGATCTAGTCTGTTTATTACTCCATATTCTGGAATCATGCACTGATCCAGGCCAACACTTATGAATATCTCTCTGGCATCACAAGTGGCTTGCACATTTAAAGTATGTTTCCCTTTTCGCTTCTCCAGGGCGATTTGGTTTCAGGATTCCTATATGTGTACAATCAATTACACCAATTGCTGTCGAAAATGTATACATGCTTTGCCATGTCCGCTTGGCCTCCATCAGTTCATGGTTGGTAGTTGGAAACTTGATCCATTCGTTCGACTGTGCAACTATGTTGTTCACAACTCTATCCATAGTCCGACTAACACCAAGTTCCTGCCCAATACCTTGTTGATATCCAGGGTCACCGAGATAACGTAGATATCTTCACTTTAAGAAGTCGCGACCAGGTGAAGGTAAACGAGGTTTGTAAGTTTTAACATCCCTAACATCCACAGTTTCCGCCATCATCGTTTGACCACCTTTCGTTACGAAGTTGAGTCTGCTACTGACCACACTCAGAATTGTTGAAGGATATGCTTCCTATGCTAAGTACAAGGTGAAGATTATGAATATCCTTTTACTTATGTCACTGCTTTGAAGGATATGCTTATACTCAAAAAGCAAAAGCATTTACTTTAAATTATTATAAATACCATCTGGAGGATTTCCTTCAAAATTTGCAATTTTTTTTATACAAGGATATCTTTTGTTTTATGAATACGGCTCATTATCTGAGTGTGTTCACTTACGAATCTTGACTGCGCCAACTCTAACCTATTAACACCTCCTTACCTCCTCAAGCCATAAATATAACACAAGAATAATATTCTTCGTAAATAATGCATTGCGTCCGACCCACAGCTTCAAAAAAATGGGAGGGTGGTATCTCGGATCGAGGTCACGTTCAACGCGTTCCAAAAATAGCTTTCTGTATTTGGTGCTCGTTTTCCACCGGACAACGATATAACGCATGGTGATTAAAGGCTCCGTCGGTTTTCACAATCTGAATTCATGAATGGTACGATATATTGGGAACATTTTTTTTTGTGTTCGATGCCGTAGGAACGTTTTTTTTTTGAGTTCGAAACCGTATACCGGGTGTTTCAAATTCGACACTCATCATTCTCACTCAGTGTGAAACGGTAAGTGATACGGACTCGGTTGATTGGGAGCAGAGTTGAGCGTTTAGGTAACTGATGGCACACATAAAGTATTGCAAATCAGTCTAATTTCCGGAGACCGACGAATGGTTTGTTCGTACAGTAGTCGGTAACTTGTCGGTGACTGTCAAAATCAGACAGAATCAGAGAGATGTTGCCACGCTCTTTCTTTTTTTTTTTAATTAATTAAAATCACTTTTTAATTTCAAGCTAAAGTTATTTCTCTCAATTGAGGCAATGGATGATTAAAAAAAAACTAGGGGGTTACTGAGGATAAAACCGTGATTTAGCGTTGGCAAATTAGGCCCTATGCTCAGGTACACCGGAAAGTAGGGGGGTATTTTTTTAGGGGCGCCACCAGCTTTTATCCGCCTTGGTGTTGAAAGGCACTCTTTAGCCCAAAACCCCAAGAAACAAAAACAAAAATACATACAAACAATAGATTTTCTGTGTGGGTAAATAATTGCTAAAATTAACATCAATACATTTTATTACATCTACTAACAGATAACAACAAAAATTTAAGCCAGCCAAACTAGGGATCTCCTTTAATGCGAAAGCTTATTGACTAACTAATTTAAAATGGGCGAGGAAGGCTTCAAAACCGATGACGTAAGAATCCCTATGGTGGAAAAAGGGTCTCTGTTCGGAAAGAGGTCCCCGGTAGAAAACGTGGCAATGGATTTCCAGTAGCGAAGATTCCCCCAAAATAAAAACCCTAGATGATGTCGGGTAGGGTTTTTCACGTGGTTCCGTGCGGCTGAAGACAATAAGATCCTACAAATTATAGAATTTCTCGGGTCCAAGGGTAGACAAAAAAAAGATGCTACGCACTCACAACAGGAATGACCCAGGAAATTATCTAGTTATGAAATTTTCTTCCACAATCCAACGAAGATGCCACAGGCAAAAGAGGAGGAAAATTTCAGGTCTTCTGGCACTAGCGGAACAGAACAAGATGCCCCTCCGATAGTGGAAGGAAGTCCCCTCCCAAAATTTTAAGTTTTTCGACTATAGTTGTACGCCTGACCATTAAGAGCCAAACGTTGTCGGCTAATCCCAAAATGAGAAGGTTCCTAATATAAATTCAGTGAAATATCGTGAATAAATGTGGCAACACTGTCATATCTGCATATAAATTTGATTGATTAATAAACATAAGGAAATTCTGAAATAAAATTGGCAACTGTGCGGAACAAGCGAGGTGTGCAAGTCTACTAAGTGACATATAAATCCGAACACCCAGTTTAAATGGTTTTATTTTAATAAAATTTTGTATAAGTACTTAATGAAGCATAATAAGTAAATGATAAAAAATTCAAAATGATTGCACTGCTTTAAAGCCCTTTGACCTTTAATAATATGTAGATGCACCCTGATGTGCTACGCATTCTCCAACGCGCCTAGGCATGCTTCTGATCAGGTGGTCAATGTCCTCCTGTGGTATCTCATTCCAGGCAACCACCAACTCCTCTCGAAGTGCTTCTAGAGTCTGAGGAGGACGTTGCAAATTGAGCAATCTCCTTCACATCATATCCCACACGTGCTCAATTGGGGATAAGTCGGGAGATCTTGGTGGCCATGGTAACAATGTGACATCATTATGTTGAAAGAAGTCTATTGTGACTCTTGCAACATGTGGCATTATCTTGTTGGAAAGTTGGATCTGCCAGGGTGTCAAGATAGGGTAAAAGATGGGGTTCTAGAACTTCGTGGATATAACGCTGCACGTTCATGTTACCTCTGATGAAGATTCAAGGTGACCTGGAACCATAAGCTATAGCATCCCAAACCATAACTCCAAAAAACTGGATTCCTCCTTTCACCACGTCGCCTTCTAACCCTGGCACGACCATCGTGCATGCCTAAACAAAATCGAGACTCGTCACTAAAGACTGTTCCATTCCTGATCCCAGAGTGACCGTGGTCTGCACCACTCAAGGCGATTACGTCGGTGTTCTCGAGTTAAAGGGAGGACCCAGTGTGGCCGGTATGTAAACAAGCCAAAACTTCTCATTCGTCGGTAAACACTTCGCATGCCAATAGGTCTTCCGTGTTCTGCAAACCATTCATTTGCAATGGACCTGGTAGTGGAGAAACGGTCCCTTAAGGCCAATAATCTTAGGCGGCGATCTTCACGGTCTGTTGTTCTACGGCGGCGTCCAGTGCCCCTTGCTCTTTGCGTACGGCCTTCTCGAAGCCATGCCTGACAACACCTAACCACAGTGACTTTGCACTCTAACTGCAATTGCCCGAAAAGAAAGTCCAGCTTCCCGAAGTCCCACTATACGGCCCCTATCAAACTCACTAAGTTGACGAAATCGTACAGGTCTCCGTACTCTAGGCATCGTAACCGATCGTAAAGGATGTCAAGAACCAAAATCCGCCAACGTTGATTCTTTACTGCACCTGAAATATTCATTTTTAGAGCGTTAGTGAATTAAAAAAAAGCAGTATAAAAACCGGAATGTCCAACTGATAAGGCTGAAAATTTTTTCACTTGTTATTTACAGTAAGATAAATACATTCAC